AAAGAAAAAAAGGTCAAGAAACAAATAAAGGCAGACCTATCAGAATTACACCCAATTTCTCAATGGAAAACCCGATAGCCAGCGGATCCTGGACAGATGTGCTGCAGACATTAAAGAACAAGAAAACAAGCACACACTATACCCAGCAAAACTTTCAATTACCACAGACAGAGAAAAGAAGACATTCTATAACAAAACCAGATTTAAACAATACGTATGCACAAATCCAGTCTTACAGAAATTGCTAGAAGGAAAACTCCAACCCAAGGAAGTTAGATACACCCATGAAAACACAGGCAACAGATAACCTTACGCCAGCAAACCGCAAAGATGGGAAACACATAAACACTACCACCAAAAAATAACAGGAATTAACAATCACTGGTCATTAATATATCTTAATATCAATGGACTCAATTCACCTTTAAAAAGACAAAAGCTAAAAGAATGGATAGGAAAACATGATCCATCCTTCTATTACATACATGAAAACACACCTCAACCACAAAAACAAACCATTACCTCAGAGTAAAGAGTTGGAAAAAGATTTTCTAATCAAATGGACCTGAGAAACAAGTGAGTGTACATATCCTAATATCTAACAAAACAGATTTCAAACTAAAATCGAACAAAAAAGATGAAGAGGGACACTTCATACTAATCACAGGAAAAATCCATCAAGATGAAGTCTCAATTCTGAACATCTATGCCCCTAATACAAGAGCACCAGCATATGTAAAAGAAACATTACTAAAGCTTAAGTCACACATCAAACCACACACACTAATAGTAGGAGACTTCAACACCCAAATCTCACCAACAAATAAGTCTGTCATTAGCAGAGAATTAAGAGAAAACTAACAGATGTCATGACTCAAATGGATTTAATAGAACATTTCACCCAAACACACACACAAAATACCTTCTTCTCAGCACCTCATGGAACTTTCTCTAAAATTGAACACATACTCGGTTAACACAGCAAACCTCAACAGATACAAAATAACTTGAATACCCCTATAGCTTTTTAAATCACCATGGTTTAAAGTTAGAATTCGGGGCCAGAGAGATGGCCAGAGGTTAAGAGCACTGACTGTTTTTCCAGAGGTTCTGAGTTCAAATCCCAACAACCACATGGTGACTCCCAACCATCTGTAATATGATCTGGTGCCCTCCCTGGCCTTCAGGGACACATGCAAGCAGAATGTCATATACATAACTAATAATAATAAAAAAAAAGATAAAGTTAGAATTCAACAACCACACTAACTGCAGAAAGACTACAAACTCATGGAAACTAAACAATGATCAAGTGAATCACCCCTGGTGGCAAAAAAGAAAGAAAGAGAAAATAAAGACTTCCTAGAATTCAACGAAAATGAAGGCACAACATAACCAAACCTATGGGACACTATGAAAGCAGAGCTAATAGGAAAGTTCATAGCACGAAATGCCTACATAAAGAATCTGGAGAAATCTCACTCTAGCTACTCAACAGCACACTTGAAAGCTCTAGAACAAAAAGAAGCAGAGTTGGAGGAATAGATAAGAGGAAATAATCAAATTGAGGACTAAAATCAATAAAATAGAAAGAAAGAAAACAATACAAAGAATCAATAAAACAAAGAGCTGGTTTTTTGAAAAAAATGAACAAGATAGACAAACCCTTATCCAAACTAAACAAAAGACAGAGAGAGAACATCCAAATTAATAAAATCAGAAATGAAAAGGGCGGAAGAACAACAGACACTGAGGAAATCCAGAGAATCATTTGGCCATACTTCAAAAACCTGTAATCCGCAAAATTGGAAAATATTAAAAAAAAAAAAAGACATTTTTCTGGATAGGTTCTACATACCAAAATTAAATCAAGACTAAGTAAACAATTTAAATAGGCCTATAACTCCTAAGGAAATAAAAGCAGTCATCAAAAGTCCCCCAATCAAAAAAATTCTGGGAACAGATGGTTTCAGCGCAAAAATTCTACTAGAACTTCAAAAAAGAGCTAATACCTATACTCCTCAAATTGCTTCACACAATAGAAATGGAAGGACAATGCCAAACTCTTTTTATAAGGCTACAGTTACCTGATACCCAAATGATATAAGAACTCAAAAAAGAAAAGGATAATCAGCCTATAGTACATGACCCCAGAGAAGCTAGGTAATAAGGAGGCTCGTAAAAGAGACATGCATGGATCCCCCTGTGAAGGGGAAACACAAGATCTGAAAAAATTGGGAGCATGGCGTTGCGGGGAGAGGGGACACGAGGGAACAGGATGGCTGAGATGGGGGAAGAACAGAGAGGGAGAGCAAGGAAGGGGCTGTCTTGATTGAGAAAGTTGGCGTTGAGGGTTGGCGAGAAACCTGGCACTAGAGAAATTCCCAGGAATCCACAAGGATGACCCCAGCTAAGACCTAAGCAATAGTGGAGAGGTCTCTGAACTGGCCTTCCCACGTAACTGTCATCATAGAACCTTCATCAAGCATCTGATGGAAGCAGATGTAGAGATTCACAGAAAAGCCTGGGCTGAGCTCATGGAGCCAAGTTGAAGAGATGGGGGAGCAATATGAGCAAAGGGGTCAAGACCATGATGGGGACACCCATAGAAACAGCTAACCTGAGCTAATGGAAGCTCACTGACTCTGGACTCACAGTGGGGCAACCTGCATAGGACCAAACTAGGCCCTCTGAATATGGATACAGTTATGATGCTTGGGCAGTCTGTAGGACCACTGGCAGTAGGACCAGGCTTTATCCCTAGTGCTTGAACTGGCTTTTTGGAGCACATTCTCTTAGAGGGATACCTTGCACAAACTAGATATAAGGAGGAAGGCCTTGGTCTACCTCAAAGTGATATGCCAGACTGTGTTGACTCCCCATGGGAAGTGTTACCCCCTCTGAGGACTGGAAGGAGAGCAGGAAGTTGGAAGGAGCAGAAGGAAGGGAGTGAGTGGGAACTGGGATTGATATGCAAAATGAGAAAAGATTGTTTTAAAAAAACAAATTTAAAAAAAGGAAAAAATAAGATTCTAGTTAGAAAAAAAGGACACACTGTGCGATGAAATAATCCATTTTCCAAATAGCTTAAAATAGTTTCTGAATAAAAGCAGAGAGGATAAGTGTTCCCAAAAGTTTAAAGCCATCTAAAATATTAAAGAAACATGTACAACTTTGGGCATCTAGTCAAAGTTACAGAAAGAGGGTAAAATCGCCTATGTCCTGGTGCAGCCCAAGGGCTTCACACAGAGGTATTCTATATGTGTATTCACACATGTGAATGTGAGTGTTATATGTGTGTCCAATTGAGTAGGGGTGCATAAGTGCATATAAGTGGTGCTTTCTTTAATGACTGTCCACCTGCTACAGTGGCACAGGTCTCTCACTGGGCCCAGACTCTCCACTTAGGCAAATCTAGTTAATACATTTGCTCAGTAATTCTTTGTCCCCACATCCTGCACCCTGGGATAAGAGGGGCACCACTATGCCGTGTGGCTTTGACAAGGGTTCTAGGGATTCAAGTTCTGATCCTCACACTCCCAGAGGTAAACACTGTACTCAAGCATCTATGCAGCCCAACAAAGACGCTTCATAGACACAGGATTCTTCTCTTTTCTATAACAACCTTGGCAGACTTATGCTATTCATCTATCAACTACTGAAACTCACAACTGTTAAGGAATATAAAGATGAAAGAAAAGAGCATTTTTAACAATTAAAAAAAAATTCCCAGGTGGGGCTGGAGAGAGGGCTCAGCAGTTAAAAGCATTGCTAGCTCTTCCAAAGGTCCTGAGTTCAACTCCCAGCAACCACATGGTGGCTCACAACCCTCTTCTGGTCTGCAGGCATAACACAGACAGAACATTGTATACATAATTAGTAAATAAATAAATAAATAAATAAATATTTTTTAAAAATATTCCCAGGTGCATGAAAGATGGTTCAGAGGGTAACAGAGCTTACTGCCAAGCTTGACAACCAAAGTTTCTTCCCTGTGGCCTAAAGAATAGAGGAAAAAAAATTGTGCGGGTATGTGCATCTACTCACTAATAAGTGAAATGTAATTTTAAATTAAAAAATTTAAAAAAAAAACAAGCTTGGGGTAGAAGATACACTTTTCCTGTCCTATAAAAATTAATATACAAGCCAGGTGGTTGTGTACAACTTTAATCCCAGCACTTGGGAGGCAGAGGCAGGCTGATCTCTGTGAGCTAGTTCCAGTATAGGCTCAATATGGAGTCACAAAACAGAAACTAACCTATAAAGAGATTAGTAGTTAATTCTATGTTTTCATTCTAAACTACATAACACAAGCTATTTTCTTTTTCTTTTCTTTCTTCTCCTTGGTTTCTTTTTGTAGCTTTAGCTGTCCTGGAACTTGCTCTGTAAACCAGTCTGGCCTCAAACTCTGAGATCTGCCTGCCTGCCTCTGCCACTGGAGTGCTGGGACTAAATATGTGTACCACCATGTCCAGGTAAGGACAGCTAAAAATGTTACACATCTCTTTCCAGAACAAAACTGTCTAATGCATCTGAGTAAGAAACTTATTTTCTACTTCTCACTTTGCCTGAAAGGGTAAGAGAGGGTAAGTTAACTGTGTAGCAGCATACACACATTAAGCAACTGCGCCACTGGAGCTCCAAATTCCATTTTAAAAAGGCAAAGGTGTACTGGTACGCGCCTTTAATCCCAGCACTTGGTTCAAGGCCAGCCTGGTCTATATGGTGAGTTTCAGGACAATCTGTCAGAGCTACAGAGAAAGACCCTTAACAAAAGCAAGGGAGGAGAGGAGGGGAGGGGAGGAGAGGGGAGGAAAGAAAAGGAAAAGACAGGAGAGGAGAGGAGAGGAGAGGAGAGGAGAGGAGAGGAGAGGAGAGGAGAGGGAGCCAAAATCAGAAGTGCTATATTAAAATGCAATGTTTTCCCCTATCATTCAAACACATACTTGTTTATGAAAGAGAGAGATAAGTCATATGAAAACTGAAAAGTTAATTCTTACTAAAGCCTTCTGGATCTTCCTCCCACATTGTCAGTTCTTCTTCAGTTAATAAAAAATAATGAGAGACTAATCTTCGACATATCTCTGTCAACGTGGGATATGTGAAGAATGCCATCTTAATCTTATGGGCTTCAATTGTTTCAGGGCTGCTATCTAGAAAAATAAAATTTCCAGTTAATAGATTAGTCATTCTTTCTAAGCCAGATCTTTTAAGTAAAATAAAAAATGTACTTTCAGAAGAAAAGATATACTTGAGTATGAATCTCTTCGTGAACAGTATGAACCTATTTTTAAGGTACTCTTCCCGTTATTTGTAGTGCATCAGTCCATCAGTCCAGCTGCATTCTAACTACTATAATTTATACACAACTGCTATGTTGTCCCAACATACAAAATGATCTCCCTCCCAATCCATCTCTTCCATTCTTCCTACCTTGCTACAAGACTTCCTTATTCACCTTCACACCTATACCAAAAGCATTCCAGATAACACAGCATATAATTCAGCCTTGTCTACAAACAACTCAACTTTGTAAGAAGTCAGAGAAAGTCAGAGAAAAGTTTTATTCTATAAAGAATAAGAACAAATAGTAATAAGGAGCTGCAAAGGCTATTGTGGAATAATTCCTAAACTGTATAAGTTTCAAATCATCTATTGTGTTACAAAACAGGTCAGGAAATATAAACAATTAGACTTTAAAAGCCAATATTCACAAATTAAATTGTAAAGTGTTTCTCATAACATAGAATTTTCATATTAAAATGAATTTCACAAAAACTGTATTAAGATAGTAATTACATCACACTTGGATTAAAATTTTTCTAAAAAAGAATCAGTGGAGTATTACCTTCAAAATTTTTGGATGGCTTATAAGCATAATTTTTGACAATCATCTTAATAAGATTCATGCACTGGACAATGAATCGCTCAAACGTTACACCTTCACCAACTTCAGTAAAAACATAGCTTACAGAAAATTCCAGTGACCTCTGAATTAGGGGAGTAAATGAAATGGGGTGCTGATCCAAGAAGTCCAAGAGCTATAAAGAAAAGAAAAGCTTGAATGGTATTTGGTACAAAATCTTTATAGAATATATTATTCCGATTTTCTAATAACTATTTAACTAGTTTTAACCTTCATGGGAACTCCAGGCATAACAGATTCACATACACTATGACCCTTCTTGGAATAGATCACAAATCATAGATTTTTTTTCCAAGCTTTACCCTCATAAAGAACTTTCTAGAATTTCTAATGCAGAGACTAAAAAGATACTATTAACTTTGTAACAATGAGTAAATGCGATATAAAAAACGTTAGGTATATATTACAGGCTTTTTAAAAGAACAATAGTAAGAAGACATTAAAAATAAGACTGCCTTCTTTATGAACCATATTTGAGTTCTAAGACTGCCAGAGCTACACAGAGAAGAGTCTGTCTCAAACTATATAAATAAATAGAAAAGAAAGCAAGTAAACACACACATCAGCTTTCTATTGGGTTTTTAAAGGTTAAATTGATTTGATTTTGATTGATACTACCTAGAATGTAAGAAATGAAGATACTGACATTCAAATCTAACCCTAACAATAAAGCATCGATAAAAAAAAAAAAAAACAGATATTCTGACCATCTTCAAGTACCCATTTTGTGTGCAGTCTCCAATCAGGCCTTCCTAAGTGATAAAACACAGTTCTTTTTATTTCTTCCAATTCTCCAAGCCCCAATTTTCATAAAATATTATATAAAAGTGACTTTATCAGCCATTGGGCAGTACAACCATAAATTCCATTCAAAAGATGTAGTAATTGTGATAATACTCTGATATTCATTCTGAATATACCCAGTGATATTATAGTTACCAGCTACATCTGATCTACTTCTGGCTGAACTGCTTTTTCCTTTTTTCCCCTTAGATCTCTAGTAGACCTAAGAATAATGAACTTTAGAAAACTCAAGTTTATAGTCATTATAGTTGATTTTATTTTCCCAGTAGTGCTAACAAAACGGAAGGCTTAGTGCATACTAGGCAATCCATCAACCACTACATAACCAACTAGAATTGATTCTTTTACATCCAGTTAACTTACACATTATGACATTTTACAGGCAAATTTAATTACTATACATGTTCTTAAAGTTTAAAGATAACAAAGGTGATTTCAGTTTTCCAAAGACTTAAAACATGTTTTCTTTCATTAAAGTAAAAACTATACAAATATATAAATATATTTTCCTTTCTAAATATGAGGTGTGCTTTACTTGAAAAAAAAAAAAACATGTACAACAAAAAAGAACACTTACCACTTTAGTGAAAAGAATGATGGTCTTTTCCAGCCTATCTCGACATACATTATCTGTACCTATATTTCTACCTATTAAGAATATAATTCAAGATTTTAATAGTCTGTAAAATTACAAAAAGCATTAAAACTTTAACAAAAAAGAGATATTTCACATAAGAAATTCATGATTAAAAAAGCAGTAACAAGATTTGTACCTAATAAATAGAGTAACCATCAATGTTACAATAAACAAAATTAATTCTAAAATATAAAGTGAACACATTTTTTAAAAAAATGCTAATTTTAGCAACAAATTACAAATCACATTTTCAAGGACTAAATCAGTTGTATTTGAAGCATTTTTCAAACACAAAGCACCTAAAGAATAATGTATTCATTATTATTTTGTCATACTTTTATTCTAAAAACTCTTCCTCCTAATTTGCACATTCTGGATACTATCAGTCCCTCCGTTCCTTTGCTCGCTCATCACTCTCTATAATCCGCTTTGACATACACCTCATTCAGCTAACTTTGGTACCGTCTTGGTGATGACCAGGGCAAAGGGACCTGGGTTTTGTTTTGTTTTAATTTAACTACACAGTACAAAATGCCTGGCAACAGGTTCAATAAAGTATTTGCTATATTAAAAATGACAGGCATAAAATAATCAACAATCCCTACAAATGAGATTAAGATTCAAACAGCAAGTGTCTAAGCACACTCACTGTGCACACACACACACTCACTGTACACACACTCAATGTACACACACTCACTGTACACACACACACACACTCACTGTACACACACACACTCACTGTACACACACACAGAGTACAAATGCATCCCAAGCAAAGGTGTTCACAATCACATATATGGAAGAGACAGGATAAAAAGTCACCAGTACAACACAAACATAAATGCTAAACTTTCTTTATGGAGCTTTGGATTACAAAAGATTACATAAAATACCATTTAAGGAAGGACATTTATATCAGTGAAATATAAACTATACTAAAAGAGATAATCTAAACAGGACTGGGCATATCCTATACATATTACTTCTTAAACAAAATTGCCATGCCTAGGGCAGCAGTATTAGTTAAAGGAAGGAATGCACAGACAACACAGAATTTTAGGAAAGGGTTTCCTCTAGTCTTGGGACAAGTATATGGAGGCAAAACTAAGCTTCTGATTCAGCCTCAATAGTTAGTTACCAACTTCTAAGACACTCATTCTAACCACATACAGGACCTGTTCTACTCCCGAGACCTCACTCAGATGGCCCAAATGTGACAGTGAGACAAATTGCTATCTACAGATTTGCATATACAGAGTAGAAGCTGCTGATGCGTTAGGAATAATTCACTAATCTATATTAACCCTCATTAATCCCAGCTGTTAATGAATAATAAACAGCACTGAATGTCAGTTCTAAAGTCAACATGCAATGGAAGGACTTACTGCACTCCAGAAACTGTTTGAGACGTTCAAATATTCCATGTAAAAAACCCTAGAAAAGAATACATTTTAAGATGTCTCAATGTATTCTGTTGTAAACATAACCTTACACTTTTTGTCAAGGATTCTAAACATAATTTTTATACAAGTATCTGAAAGAGCTAGAGTTGGTCAAATATGCCTAGAAACCCAATAGGCTACAGACTAAAGGAAAAGGATCATGAACACAACAACCTCAAGGCCTACACATGCTAGGCAAGTCTGTATCACTAAGGTATATTCCCACCCCTTTTTATTTTGAGATATGGTCTTGCTTAAGTTATCCAATCTGTCCTCAAACTTGCAGTCTTCCTGTCAGAACATGCCAAGAAAATGATATTACAGGTGTGTATCATGCTCAGCAACAATGCATCATCAAATGCAAACCAACAGGAAGACTCTTCAGTATCTTTTAGGAGGCCCTAACTAAATGTACTACTTCCCTCAACTTCATTCAGCCCCAAAATATCCCCACAGAACATGTAAACTGGGCTAAACTCATCATGTATTTAAGAAGAAATTACAGAGCTATAAGCTTGTGCACAGAAGAAAAAAAGATATATATCAACAGTGAATATATAGTACAACTGTAGCAGGCTGAATAAAAATGGTCCCAACAGTCTCATTGAATGTTGGTTTCCAGTTAGTGGAGTGTGTGGTAAGGATTAGGAAATGTGGAAGAGCTGGGTGGGTTTTGGAGGTTTCAAAAGCCCATGCCATGCCTGACATGGGATGTCCTTCTATATGTGTCAATATGGTTAATAAAGAATCTGATTTGACCAATTTGCCAGGAAGAACAGAACCAGATGAGAAATCCAAGCAAAGATATAGGGAAGAAGAAGAGAGAGTCAGGGAGATGCCAGCAGTTGCCGGGGAAACAAGATGTGAGGTAACAAGAGCCTCGTGGTAAAATATAGAATAACAGAAACGGGTTAATTTTAGTTGTAAGAGTTTATAATAATTATAAAGTTTATAATAATTATAAAGTTTATAATAATGTATAATAAGCTTGAGCTAATAGGCCAAACCGTTTGTTATTAATATTAAGCCTCAGAGTGGTTATTCGGGAACTGGCAGGCAGGAGAAAAACCTTCATTTATACAGGCCCAGTCAATTGTTGCCTACAATTCAGGATGTAAGTTCTCAGCTACTGTTGCTTCAGCGCCATGCCTGCCTGCCTCCATGTTCCCTGATGCAATAATCATGGACTACCCCTCAGACACTGTAAGTAAGCCCCCAAATTAATGCTTTTTTTTTATAAGATGCCTTGATCATGTTGTCTCTTCACAGCAAGAGAACTGTAACTAAGATAACAACCTATATGGGCTAGTATAAGGTTGTTTACACACACCCTTAGTTTGTAGGTTGTAGTGTTTTGAATGAAAATAGCCCCCATGGATTATATGTTTAAATACTTGGTCCCCAGTTAGTGGAACTGTGTGGGAAGAGGTGTGCTCTTGTTAGAAGAGGTGTGTCACTGGCGAACAGATTTCAAATTTCAAAAGACTTATGCCATTACCAGTGTCCTCTCTGCCTCCTGCTTGCAGATTTAGATGTGAACTCTCAGCTGCTCCTGTTAAAAAAGCTTTGCTACACCATGGACTCTAACCTTCTAAAACCATAAGCCCAATCAAATGCCTTCTCCATGGCTAGGTCATGGTGTTTGATCTCCTATCATCATGCCTTTGCTGTAACCTTCTGAAACCATAAACCCAATTAAATGCTTTCTTTTATGAGTTGCTTTGATCATGGTGCTTGATCATAGCAAAAGAATGTTGTTTTTATTTTGCAGCGCTAGGTAGGAGTCTAACATAGGCCTCACATTATGAGAAGGCAAACATGTTATAACTAACTATATCTAAGGCTCATGTATTTATTCATCAAACTTCGTGTAAAGATCATGTATCACTATTAAGAAGAAAAAATATTTCATTTTTAAATATAGAAAAATATCGAAGACTTAATTGACAATTTAGAATTCACCTAATAATGTTAAAACAGCATTAAAAATCTTAGGGATTCACTTCGACTTAAATTCAAATTAACGCTGTCAGTGTATCCTGCAAGTTGAAAAACTATCCTAAGCCATTTCCCTCCTGTATGTAACAGCCACTTTGATATGGTGAACGCAGACAACTATAAAATTCACTATAACATAGAGAGAATGATAAAAAAAAAACAAGAAAGACCTAGATAACCACTTAATTAAAAACTATTCCTAATCAATACCAGATAAAAAGACAGTCAGAAAAAACACCGAACACTTTCCCAAGGTCACTTGTCATAAATCCTTTCTGTTTCTTACCATCACCTCCAAATTCTTATGAGGTTCCACAAATCCATTCACAGTTAACTTACGTAGCACTGAAAAGCAAAGAAAGTTTCATTTGAACTGTTTTTCTTCATATTTTATTCTACTACAATCATAATTATAATGAATCTGAATAACAAACTCAACCAACTCAAAGACACTTCCCACTTAGCAGATCCAGACAGGTAATCATCTGAGTAAGTACAAAATCTGGTTCTTCTGAACAACATGAACAGTGGTTGTTCTCACATGTCGCTATACTGGATATATAACTGTAGTAAGATTTTGACATTAAGGGTAATTTATTCTTAGAAATTTTAAGATACAACTAAAAACTTCAACTTTAGCTTACATGAAAATAAAGTATGTCTCCTAAAACCAATATAAAACTAAATTGTCCTCATATCTGGAATAGAGTGCTTAATTATGAATATAACATCTTATGGTAACAAAAATCCTTATGCACAGGGGCAATTAAGGTAATGGATTTTGAATCTGAGACAGGTTTAAGTCCCTTTTTCAGTACTCTATTACTTAGGGCAATTTTTCTATATCCATTTTCCTCAGGGAAAATGTGGTTACTACATCTGATTTCATAGTTACTAAAGGATTCAACAGTGCAGTTTATGTAAAACAGCACAACTCCACAACAAGGATGGTAGTATGAGACAATCTGGAAGAATAGGGAGAGCACAGAGCCTCTTGAATACCAAGGGAAGACACTAATGTTGAGCTTCATCCCAGCCTAAGCCAAAATTAAAGTCAATTTATTAAATAAGAATTGCTATCTATATTACTATATAATTATCTATTAGATAGTGTTCATGAGCCCAAAGACCATATGTTAAAATTAAATTTAGGCTGGGTGTAGTACTAGTGTTCTAAATCTTTAATCCCAGAACTCAAGACACAGAGGAAGATAGAGCTCTGAGTTCAAGACCAGCCTAGGTTACCTATATACTGAGTTCCAGATCAGCCTGTGTTGGGAAAACAAACAAACAAATTAAGCTAGGCATATGATTGTCTACAGTCCAATTTCTTAAAATGTGGACAGTACTTTAAAACCATTCACACATTTGTTCAGAGAACTCATCTTAGGAGTTGTGCAGACACTGTCTAGTCAGTTCGTGTAAAGGATGCCCTAGACAGTGCCAAGAGTGCACAGCGAGATCCCAAGGTAAAGGGCTGAGTATGTTTAAAGATCTTATAAACAAAACTGTTTTAAAAATGCAAAACAGGGCTCATTTCAGGAAGAGAAAAACAAGTTCTATGAGGAAAAACAAATAGAACAAAGAAACCACAGTGCTAGCCACCAGACTGGCTTGGGGAGGAGAAAGGGTGGGTCAGAGGTACAGGAAGCGCGGGCTCTAGTAAGAACACAGGGAACTTGGTCCATGGAAGGCAAGATGGAAATGATGCTACAAGAATGTTCACAAACACGGTAAGGAAAGCACAGCTCAAAACAGCTTCCCTACCGCCATCTCCTATAGTCCAGCCAAGCCTGAGGCACAAAAACGTCAAAGGTCAAGTTTAAGGAAAAGAGACTTGAGAGACACCATTCAACCAAGCGAGTTAGAACTAAAACTGTAAGGACAATGGTAAAAGTAGGGACCAGACTAAGAAATGTAAGGGAAAATAGAAGCACATGGAGGGAAAAAAAAAAAAAAAAAAAACATATTCAGAGAACTGAGACCAAAGTAACATACAATTCATACATTTGAAATGACTTGGTATTTTGATAAGCTTCTTAGAAAAGAAAAAAAGCTCCCTAGTTCTTATCTTACAGAGAAATCAACCCATTTTTCCTAAAGACAACAGAGAAAGAAATCTGTCCGAGCAACTACTTGGCAACTGTGCCGAAGCACATCTGGTTTAACAGTACCTTTTAAGGACAGTAGTGTTCGCTCTAGTGAACTCAGAACTGCAGTTTCACTGCCAGAAGAAATCTGCTGCAGGAATGTGTCTGTATGATGGTTCCACAGAGAACAGGCAAAGTTATAAATTCCAGAAGCTAACTGCAAGAAAAAGCATCAAATTTGCACATCATTTGTTTTAATAATAAATTATAAATACAAGCAATTACATGTGGTCTTACAACAAAAAACACATATTCAGTGAGATTTGAAATAGTTAAAAAGTATTTATGGTGATGCTTCAAAGATTTTAACTACAATATAATGATTAGTGTTCACAGACTATTGCTTTAAACACACACACACAGACACAAACCTAAAAAAATTAGTCTCTTAAAACAATGTTTACCCTAATAATAACTATATTTACAAACTGGTGATTATTTTTGGCTTACTTTTTTGCACTCGCTAATGGATTGAAAGCTCGGATTTCCAAACAACCATTTATGGACCATCACTCAGTAAGTCACACATGTTGATACACGATGATAAATGATAAAGTTAGTCTGACCTTCTGTGTTCCTCCTGCAGTTCTCTCCACGGTGTTTAAGTATTTAAAGCTAAAGACATACAAACCACATGACTTTCAGACTATGTTCCTGACCAGTACCAATGTTTAAAAACTGATCAATGGGCTGGGAAATGGCTCATTTATATAGCACTTGTCTGGCAGGCTTCAGATCCTGATGCCTGTCCTTGGCATAAAAAAGAAGGGGAAGGACAGAAGCATACACCAGATTCCTTTACTGAGTATACAGTAAGTCTCCTCCTGCCAGTGTGACACTCTGAAGCACAAACAAGCAGCATTTTCAACGTTCCCCATGTGCACAGTGTACAGATACAGCAGTGACACAGGACTATAATCCCGACCCTTGGAAGGCTGAGGCAAGAGGACTGCCAAGAAGGTAAGGTCAGCCTGAGATAGCCTTGTAAAACAAGTAATGTACAAATGTAATTTGGAACAAGTTCAGATAGCCACAGGATCTTTTTCTCAATACTCTCCAATACCATCATATGCTAAATTCACTAGAAAATGAAAAATTGATGGTGATAAGTATTCTTTAGTGCCTCAAAGTAAAATAAGATTAAAATCTAGCCTGGTAGGTTGGTATTAACCTATAAAATCAGGAGGCTGAGGTAGGAGAATCACAGGCGAGCCTGTCATACACACTGAGACCCCATCACAAAAAAACAAGCAAAAGAAGCCTAATTTAAAACAAGATTAAACTAGGCAAAGTGGTGCACACTTGTGACTTCAGGACTCATGAAACTAAGGAGAGAGAATCTCACATTTGGAGCCAAGCTGAGCTACACACTGAGACTGTGTCATTAATAAATAAACTAATGAAAGATTAAGCTTGAGAAGAGAGTCAACCACATAGAAACTGGCATTTGCTCAAGAAGGCAAACATTAAGGAAAAATCGAACACCCTGAATGAACCAGTACATTTCAAAATCATGCCAGATTTATATTAAGTGTTTTAAGTAATGATAACAAATGAACAAAATGATCTTAATTATTATAACTTTTAAGCACTAACTTCTGTTACCAGGATGTGAAGGTTTGAATAGGAATGGCTCGGGACTACATGGAGAAATCCTGTCTTGAAAAAAATAAAAAATCAAAAAACAAAAAAAACAGGCAGTGGTGGTGCACACATTTAATCCCAGCACTTAGGAGGCAGAGGCAGAGGCAGATAGATCTCTGTGAGTTTGAGGCCAGTCTGGTCTAAAGTGTGAGTTCCAAGACAGGCTCCAAAGTTACAGAAAAACCCTGTCTCGAAAAAACCAAAGGGTGGGGGGAGGGGGATAAAACAAGAGAAATGGCTCCCCTAGGCTCATAGATTTGAAAATGCTTAGTTACTAGGGAGTGGCACATTTAGGAGTTGAGACTTTGTAGGAGGAAGAGTGTCACTTGGGGTGTGGGCTTTAAGGTTTCAAATGTTCAAGCCAGGGCCAGTGTTTATCTCTCTTCCTTGATGCCTGCCAATCGATATGTATAACCCTCAGCTCCTTCTTCAGCACCCTTATTTCCTGACCTCTGAACCTGTAAGCCAGTCCCAATTACATGGTTTCCTTTATTAAGAGTTGCTATGGTTGTGACATCTTTTCACAGGAACAGAAACCTTAAGTAAGACACAGGAGAAAATTATTTTACCAAAATATACCATCTGCACACAGAGTGCAAATTACACTATATATAAGAGCCTCTCCATTCAATCCCCAAAGTCTAAATAAGATATCCTCATCAAAAGATTAGAATAAAAGGAACATTTTCCTCATGGTTGAATTAAATTCATTAAAATAAATTTTGTTTTTTTTTAAATATTTATTTATTTATTCATTGTGGATACAATATTCTGTCTGTGTGTATGTCTGCAGGCCAGAAGAGGGCACCAGACCTCATTACAGATGGTTGTGAGCCACCATGTGGTTGCCGGGAATTGAACTCAGGACCTTTGGAAGAGCAGGCAATGCTCTTAACCACTGAGCCATCTCTCCAGCCCCCTAAAATAAATTTTGCTTGTTCCAAAAAATCCATTACATTTAAAAATCTGACTCCAAACACGTATGTAAGAAAATTTGGTAATTCAGATAATCAAATAAAACAGTTAACTTGAAAGAAGGAGGTATGAAGATCAGGAGTTCAAGTCCAATCTTAGCTACACAGTAAGTCTGAGGGAAGCCTGGGTACCTGAGACCCTGTCTCAAAAAACAAAAGAGGGTTTGTGAGAAGGCCCAGGAAGCTGGATTCCCAGAACCCACATAAAGTGAAAGAAGAGAAAAAACAACACCACAATGTTGTCCTCTGATCTCTATATGAACACTGAGGCACAATCATGTCGGCACACATCACACACACGCATAATAATAATTATGTAATATTATGTAAGTAATATGTTTGACATACATCAACTATTTCTGAATGGAGGCAATATACAACTTTGAATAAAAAATAAATGAACAGTATAAAAATGTTTTCTTTAATATTCCTTGTTTCCTCGTTCAGATCTGGAGCACAATACCTGAGTAAGGACATCAGACATGCACTAAGGATCCAATGTAAGAGTTTTAGGCTAATCTAAAGCACAACAGAAACAGATGATTACAGTGCAAAAGCAATCCTAGCTCTCTTTGACAAACAGCTTTTCCTTGATTAAACTTCAGTCAGATTCTCCTAAATCCCTTTGGTAATGAGGTATGAACTATGGCCAGTCAAAGCTCCTCTCCCATTCCACATCTCAGTTACTCTGGGTACCTGGTTAGGCGCCTTACCTCTACAAACCCAATGGTATCTCATCATCCTAGCTTGCCTACAGAAGCAGAATCCTGTTAGGTCACTTTAAACAGAAACTGCCCCTTACCCTGGACATTTCCTCCTAGTAACCTGCTAGCTACTCCCACCTTCCCCACCCTCTCCTGGTTCTTTGACTATAAACTCCCATTTTCTTACATTCAGTGTTGTGCCGGCCGACCAACCTCCCTTCCCAACTGCAAGCCCTCCTCTAGTAGCTCCTTCTGGATAAAGTCAGTTTTACGATGACTGTCTTTGACAAGCATTTCAGACATTTTCCACAATTTCTTAGTCCTACTGTAAAACAAGGGAAGACTTAAAGAAAGGAACCACTGCCCACTATCATATCCACAAGCTATTCATAAACTTCATTTGCACCAGAGCCATCAATTGATGTCTGCTTATAAAGGCTCAGATGGAAAAGAAAAGGCAATGAAGTAAACCAAGTAGGAGGAATAAAAATATTTCTTCCACATTTTTTTTCTAAAAAATGCAGCAAGGAAAGGATGTTCAGTAAAACACTACACAAAAAAACTATAATAAAACACTCTTGAGAACTGATTGGCCCAAACTCCAACTGGTTAGGTTTTCTTTCTAAACAGAAGACAGAGTGCCACCCACTGACAATTTGGTGAATTTAGCTCAGACGCACACACTTAACTCCTTTCAACATGAAAGTGAGCCATTATAGTAAGCTTAACTCGTTTTTGCATTTCAAGTATTCTTAAATACTCAGATTCACTGTCCTCAGAATTCCTATTAGGAAAAGTTAGCAATAAAGTATTAAAGTCATGGAACTCATAACTAATAGTGATGCAACAGATTGTAAAACTCAAGACACTATCACCTGAAACTAATCAGCAAAAAGCAAGTCAACAAGCACAGAAGGTTGGACACAAACAGGAAGACTAGTTCCTTCAAGCAACAGCATGAAAAGGAGAAAGAAAGACAGGAGTGAATGCTACTCTTCTAAACTAATTAGAAGATTCTAAGACAGTGCACTTACAGGCTTAAAGTAATCTTGGAAAAATATCTTTGAGAAGAGAATAATTAAATAAGACAGGAGTATTTTTTTTTACTTTCCTTAGATGTGATACATTAAATGATCAAAGAACAGTTTTTATAATAGACAAATAGGAAGATAGAACCCAAGTATGATGGTACAAGCCTGTAATAATCCTAGCACTTGGAGAGTAGAGACAGGAAGCTCAAGAGTTGGTCATGAGCTGGAGAGATCACCCTGCAATAAAGAACACTTGCTGCTCTTTCAGAGGACCCATTTTTGGCACCTAGCACACACATGGTGACTCATAACCATTTATAACTCAGTTTCCAGGGGATCTAACACCCTCTTCTTATCTCCTTGGACACCAGAAACACAAGCCATATACACACAAACATGTAGTCAAACACTCATACGGATAAAATAAAAATAAAAATTTTAGGGGGAGTTGGGACAATCTGATTATTGCAGTCTTGCTGTTCTGGAACTTGATATGTAGACCAGGCTGCCCTAGAACTAATAGATCACCCTGACTCTATAAATAAATAAATAAATAATAATAAAATAAATGATAAATAAATCTTAAAAGAAAACAAGAGCCAGCTATGAGACTAGGTCTTTAATCCCCACACTCAAGAGATAGAAACAGATGGATCTTTGTTAGCACAAGATTAGCCTGGTCTATCCAGTGAGTTCCAAGACAGCTATATTGGGTGTGTATGGGGGAAGGGGGATGATCATCCTATACTACATACCAAGTTTAGGGCCAGCCAAAGCTACATGAGACCCTGTCTCAAAAGAGAAGAGGTGGCATTAAAACATGCCAAGAGCTGGTTGCCTCCATAGGTTAAAGACAAGTTCCTAATACTGAAGACAATATGCACTTCAAACATAAAACCCAGAGGACCTGAGCAGGATCTGACTCTAAAGCCTCCTCCTTGAAGACTAGTTTTCATAGGTGGCACACGTCTTTAATCCCAGTACTCGGGAAGCGGAGGCAGGTGGATCTCTGTTGAGTTTGAAGCCAACCTGGTGTACAAACAAGTTTCAGGACTGCCAGAGCTACTGTTTGTTATCCAGACAAACCCTGTCTAAGGAGATAGATTGGATGGATGGATGGATGGATGGATGGATAAGATAGGAAACTAAAGTGCTACTTGAAGACTATCTTGTCGTTCTAGTAAGCATTATCAGAGGAAGAGTTTCTGTACTGTAGGTTACCAAAATAAGATGAGGAGCGCTAACTAGCAAAACCACTCTTCACTGTTGTCTTCCTAGTGAGCTGCAACAGCTATCTTGTCCCTCAATGCCACAAGGCTGGATCCTTTCCTGCCACCTACTGCTTACAGACAGTCTGTGTCTGTAGATTCAGCTAGTCTAGTACACAATGAGAGGTGCTAGTCAACTTTCTCCAAAATATTTCTAACTCTAGGCATTCTTCCAAAAAAAAAAAAACTTTCCATAAAATTTTTGTTTTATACTTTGTTTTATACTTTTATTTTATTTTGTTTTGTAGACAGTCTTATTACATGGCCTAGCTGGCTAGGAACTCACAAGGAAGCTAGGCTGACCTCAAACTTACAGAGATCCACTAGCCTCTGTCTCTCTCATGTGCTGGAATTAAAAGCATATGCCACCATGCCCACCTTAAACATGGTAATTTCTAAGCATGACTCTCCTATTATTTGGGACGCTTTGTTTTTGTAATGCTGGGAACAGAATCCAGATCCTTGTACCTGCTAATAAGCGCTCGATTGCTGTGCTATATCCTCAGCCTAATTGTTCATTTAACAGTTACTGAGCACCAACCACCATGTCCAGTTTTCTAGGCTAATTAGCACAACTACAACAAAAGTAACACTGCAGTGATCTGAGAAAATTAAGTGAACATTCACCACAATGTGATAAATAGTCCAGCAGGTTTAGTATCAGAGGTTAGGTAGACACCTGCATTTCAGACAATAAAGGAATTAAAACCACACTAGATGAAGATCAACCAAAAGACTTAAGAGGCTGCCTTGACTAAAAACAAGTATCTGAAAATCAAAGCAACATATAAGGAGAAACTATAGTTTTAAAAAGCCAAAACAATTCATACTTTTATTGATGGGTAATATTTAATAAAGGTCAGCTGTAGGCCAGAATGTTCTACACATCTGACTCTGAGAAAATTTTTCATAGAAAAGCAAGTCAAAGTTTAAAACTTTAGAAGCGGGAATAAAGGTAAGGAAATTCAAAGAAAGATCTGAGTAGATAAACTGTCCATTACTTTAATTCTGAATACTAGAAATAAAGCAAGAACAACTGGGAGTTGCAGTGCACGCCTTTAATCCCAGCACTCGGGAGGCAGAGACAGGTGGTTCTCTGTGAATCTGAGGCCAGTTCTACCTACATAGTGAGTTCCAGACCATCCAAGGCTACAAAATGAAGCTCTGTAGGCCAGATGACTCAGTAATTAAGAGAATTTGTTCTTGGAGAGAACCCAGGCCCGATTTCCATAGCTCATGTAGTTCACAACCATCTGTTAACTATAGTTCCAATGGATTTGGTGTCCAATTCTGACTTCCAAGAACATCGGGCAAACACATGGTGCACATACATACATGTAGGCAAAACACTCATACATGTTCAATAAAAATAAATCTATAAAATAGTTTTAAAATAAAATAACAGAAATCAAGCTAACATGAAAAAGAACAGCAAAGTAACCAAACCTATGATTATCAAAAATAATTTCTTTTATACAACATTCTTAGAATAACATGATGGGGTATTTAAAGCAATAGTTAGTAATAAAGATAATAAAACGGAATCCTAGCTTAAACTTTCTAAGAATTACTATCTAGGAAGACCAGCATGGTGCAACATGCATATAACCCTAGCATTTGGGAGGCAGAGACAAGAACAGGAGTTAAAATCACCTTTGGCTGTTTAACATGTCTAAAGCACGCTGAGCTAGGAAAGGGAAAGTAGAAATAGAAGAGAAGGGGGAGGGCAAGAAGAGAAGGAAAATGTCATAACCCAAGATTTGTATGCCACAATCTCAAGAGTAAGAATCCCAAAAGTACTGTTCTAAAACCTCATCTGTTACTGAAAGACTGAAAATTAATGTGGATTTGTTGTAGCAGCAGCTGCTGTTTCATTTTTATAATGTTGTTGTGTTGTCTAGAGCAGTCTACAACTCCTAGTCTCAAGCAACTCTTGGCCCTTAGCCGGTGTGTAACTGAAACTATCTATACACACCACTGCACCTGTCAAACATGAATGTATTGAACAAGGGTTTGAAACAGCCCCAAAATACCTGCTTCACTCTTCCCCATTTCCCTAAACTATCCTCAAAAAAGAGGCACTCCCCTGGGCACCAACAACAAAACAAAGTCTTCAGCGACAAAAGATTAGCTTTCTGTGGAAGAATAAGGCTTCACAAAGATTCTCTTCTGAAACTCTCGTCTCTGGACTCCCTCCATTAAACGGCCTATTTTCCCTTCCCATGTACAGCTAGGTTTCTCCTTTAGGAATAAATAAAGCATCTCAACTTTACAACTCTTAGAATCAGTCAGGTGTTCTGGTTTAGAGCTCTGCCAAAACATCCTTTATTTTAAACCCACAGAGGAAGAGGAACAAAAGCATGGATGCAAGTGCATCTATACCCTAGAGCTTAAGCAGGAGGAAAAGGAACTGTCAGAAGTTCTGGGAAAGGAGCTTAAGACCACACACTAAATGAAGAAGTGGAAGAAACCCTCTAACTGTTCAGGGAAAAGCCTGTGCAATACAATACACCAAGACAAGAAAAAGGAATGGCTCAAAACAAACAACTCCCTAAAAATTCCCTAGTTTTATGGGTCCTATCATAAATTTTTTAATTATGTGCTATTTTTCATAACTACCAAAGGTAAGCAAGAACACCAAAACAAATACCTGAAAATTCAGTGGTATCATATAGTAAAATCTAAATGTCACCATCAACAATACAAAATTGTTATTTTGAAAGGTCAAAAAACAGTCAGATCCAAAACCATACCAAGAACAGTAGAGAAAGTAATACTCGGTAAAGACTAACAAACCTGATACAGTCTGAATGCACTGTGCCCTATGGACTGGCTCAACTATGCGGATAAACCAGCTGGGTGTGGTGTGCACATCTGTAACCCTAGCACTTGGGAGATGGAGGAATTCGGTCTTCCTCAACTACACAAAAAGTTTGAGGCCAGCCTGGACTACAAGAGACCATATCTAAAACAAAAATTAAAAAATAAAAAATAGGGCTGGAGAGATGGCTCAGTGGTTAAGAGCATTGCCTGCTCTTCCAAAGGTCCTGAGTTCAATTCCCGGCAACCACATGGTGGCTCACAACCATCTGTAATGACGTCTGATGCCCTCTTCTGGCCTGCAGACATACACACAGACAGAATATTGTATACATAATAATAAATAGATATTTAAAAAATAAAATAAAATAAAAAATAAAAATGAAAAGATGAATACTTGATCTATAGCTAATGGTACTATACTTTGCAAAGTTTTAGAGCCTTCGGGACTGTGGACAGGCTAGCAGAGTCAGTAGGGTGGGGACTAGCCTGAGCTCCACTTCCTGACCCATCAAGGTCTGAAGAGCCTGAATAAACTACATATGCCTGCCAACATCCACTCTGGTGCCTTCCCTGCCATGATGGACTGAAACCAAGAGCCAAAAAACTCCTCCCTTGAGTTGTTTCTGTCGAGCATTTCATCACTATGACAAGAAAAGTAACTAATACAATAATCCTTCAGTTACATCTCTACTTCCCATCACCAACAGTCGGAACATGACAATCTTAATTCCTGAACTTCAACTCTGTAGCTGTTCCCTTTACCACTGCTTTCCTGAAGAGATTTATTATCACATCTGAACCACACTGACAATCTCAAACCAATTTCTTTGCTTTCAAACTGTTTCCTATCTAGCGAACCTCCTCCCTGACACCTAAGTCATCTTTCTAATCATACCACTGCAGTTTAAAGATGAGAAAGAATTCATGATCTTTCCAAAAACAGCAATACATGTAATAATAACAGTCATCTTTATACAAGTAGCATTATTTTCATAATCAAATGTAATTATAGCTTACATCATAAAACAGTTTTCTGTCAGCAGCCAGGCGTTTTGACGCCAGTGTCTTGGTAACATGGTAGAAAGTAAGTAGTGCCCTGTGCTGTCGAAGATCATCCTGGACCTTCACAGACTCTACCAGAGTGGGGATCAGCTCAGGCCATTGTCTAGGACAATCCAATCGAGCAACTTTGGCAATCAGTACTGCAATCTGAGTTGCAATCTAAAGGGAAAAAAAGTAATAATCAGAAATAATTATAAAGTCAAGGCAAGGTATAAAAATATACTCACGTTTTAAAAGTACCTCTTAGGAATTAACTATGTTTAACAAATATGATTAAAATCACACTAAACTACTTAGGACAGTGGTCCTCAAAGTACAGTTCACAGACTCTAAGATCTATGAAACATTTCTAATTACACATTGGTAAGCCTTTTTTTTTTTTAACTCTCTCTTGAGTTTTGTTGGTGGGGTGACATGTAACTCAAAATGGCCTCAAACTTACAACCTGCCTCATTCTGTAGAGTATTGAGATTATAGGTGAGTGTCACCATCCCCAGAAAGGTAGATTTCGTTTGTGTAACTTTTGCAAAAATAACATATCAAATTAAGTACATGAAAAAGCGTATGTGGAAATTTAAGCTCTCATTTCAATACTAGACACTCAAGAGAAAAAAGTTACTCTTCTCACTAAATGTTTCTTATTCTGAGAATAGCTATTGCTCATTTCCAAAAATTATTATTTATACTAAGTATAGTTTATTTTTAAATTCATTAATTCTTTTAAAGTCCTGGTTTTAATTTCGAATACAATCACTATCAACAGATACGCTCTTCTGAGTTCTTAAACTGTAGCAGTATAAGCCCATTCTTTGTCCACACATTTAAGCAGCACTGCCTGAAGAACAGAAAGGAGCATCATCCTTTCTACTAGATACTTGAGGACAAAGATTCGTGTTTTATCCTCAGACCCTTCCACCGCCTCCAGTAAACAGCACCACTCTCCCTTATCCTCATCTTCTTTGAAAGGAATCATAAACTAGATGCCACTTACTGAGGTGGTTCTCAACCTTCCTGGTGCTGTACCCTTGGATATAGTTCTTCATGTTGTGGTGACCTCCAAACATTAAATGACTTTCATTGCTACTTCATAACTGTAACTTTGCTACTGTTATGAATCACAAAATAAATATCAATGTTTTCCGATGGTCTTAAGCGACCCCCGTGAAAGGGATATTCTAACCCCAAGGGGTCACAACCCACAGGTTAAAAACTGCTAACTTAATAGGCCATAATAAAACTACATTAGAAATACAGCTAGATACAGTATTCAAAATTTTCACATCAAATATAATAAATAGTATTACTTCAGAAATACTTAAGAACTTTAAACCTGTACACAAAATTTAATTTACTCTTAGAAGAAAGTTTCACACTGGGAGAAACCCAAAGTAAAACCATATGATCTATGATTTATGTGCTACAGGGTACTGGGAGTTGAAAATGTAATGCATACAGAAATCTAAAGTCAATCCTGTGGTCTTCAAAATAAAGAAGTAGTTAACTGAATTGTTAAAATTAATTGTTGGTGTCTAATACCCCCATGTTTTAGGCATGTAACAAACAGTGTATTAAATCAAATTTATAGAGAGTAAGACCACAATAACCAGGTGTGGTGGCACATGCCTGTAATCCCAGCACTTGGAAATCTGAGGCAGGATGACTTCAAGCAGAAGCCAGCCTGGGATCCGTATGAGAACCTTTCTCAAACATTCCTTCCCTAAGACAAAACAAAACAAAAACAAAAAACCTTTTAAGAAATAGAGAAAGGGCAATTATTTTAAGATTTCCATTAAATACTGTCTTAAAAACTAAGGAAGTTGCCAGGCGATGGTGGTACATGCCTTTAATCCCGGCACTCAGGAGGTGGAGGCAGGAGGATCTCTGTGAGTTAGAGACAGCCTGGTCTACAATGCAAGTTCCATAACAGCCAGGATTGTTTTACAGAGAAATCCTGTCCCAAAAAAACAAAAACAAAAACCAAGCAAACAAAAAAGCCCTAAGGAAGTTAAAAAGTATAAACCACACTGCAAAGTAACATGAATTTTGTCATTAACTGTCAAATCTAACCATAATCTTAACAGCTTAAAGTCTAAATCAGCAGAGAAGCTGTGTATAAGCATCACAAACAGAAGCAATGAGTTAAGGGACTCTTAAACTTCTTGGCAGGAGGGAGAGGCATGAAAACAATTTAATGTAGCTCAGGATGGTCTCCAATTTGCCATGTGGCTAAAGATGAATTTCTGATCCCCCTGCCTTAACCTCCTGTATGCCAGCAATCTAGGTGTGCACCACCATATGCAGCTAGGATTTTACTTTTAATCCAAAAACAAAATTTGTTTGGTGATACACTCCTTTAATCCCAGAACTCCAAGAGACAGAAGTGGATCTCTGTGAGTTCTATGCCAGCCTGGTCTAAGTTTTGAGTTCTAGGACAGCCAAAAATTCACAGAGAGACCCTATGTCCAGAAAAAAAAAGAAGAAGAAGAAGAAGAAGAAGAAGAGAAAAAAAAAGGAAGGGGAGGACATTCCCAGCTTTCATTTCTTCATTTTGTCACTGACCTGATTTATTGGTTCATTAAAGTTGGTGATGAGTCCTGCACGCAATGTTGACTTCTCCTCTTCTGAAAGAGCACTGTAAAAAAGTAAATTTATTATCAAGAAAATGTCACCCAGTAGTGAAGGAGAAAAGAACTGCTATGAATTTTATCAATAAAACACTTTTAAATACATGGCTCCCATTATTTAAATGCTGGCACACTTCAAGCGAGAAGCCTAAACCTTCTTCAGAAGTAAATAAACAAAAAGTATAATACAGTAACAAATCCATAATAATAATGCAATATGTTGATGCTCATCTTTACTGATATAAACCCAGCTATCTACAAAAAAAGAATTAATAGTAACACACTTCTGGCTTCTGTCATAAATTCTTTCTATAAAATTTTACAAGTAGGAACTGGAGAGAAGGCTCGTTGTTTAAAAGCACTGCCTGCTTCTCCAAAGGACCAGAACCTACACAACAGCTCCTTGGCATCTGTATCCAATTCCATTAGAGCTGATACTTTCTTCTGGTCTCTGTAGGCACTAAGAACATAAATGGTACACAGAAATACATGCAAGCAGGAAAAATACCCAGACATATAAAATAAGAAAGAAAAGTTTAAATTTACAGGTAAAGAAATTCAAAGTCAAAGAATATTTGTTAGAAGACTCTTCTAAAACTCAATATAAGCTTGGCGGTGGTGGTGCACGCCTTTAATCCCAGCACTTGGGAGGCAGAGGCAGGCGGATCTCTGTGAGTTCGATGCTAGCCTGGTCTACAATAGCTAGTTCCAGGACAGGCACCAAAGCTACAGAGAAACTCTGTCTTGAAAAAAACAAACAAACAAAAAACTCAATTTAAATAGCTGGTGCAACCAGTCAACAGGAAAAGACACTTGCTACCAAGCTTGACAACACAGATTCACATGGTAAAAGGAAAGAACTATTACAAATTGTCCTCCATCTCCACATGTGCACCACGGCATTCAAAAAGCAACACATAAGTGTACACACATACACAAATAAATAAATAAATGGTTTTTTAAAAAACTAAAAAGCAAGTTGGCTGTGCATCCTAGTGAGCACCCTTAATCCTAGCACTGTAGAGACAGATGCAAGACAATTTCTGAATTTGAGGCTAGCCTGATCTATGTAATGAGTTCCAGGCCGGCCAGCCAGCCAGAAAGATAGATTAGATAGATGAGATGAGATGAGATGAGGTAGATAATAGATCAACTTAGTCTTCTATTTTACATCTTTGCAAAGGATAAACATAACACTAAAAATAATTTACTACATACAAAGAAACTATAGAGCTAAATAGAGAAGTTACTATAGAATTTATATATTACCGAATTTTAAAGTGTTTCAGTACTTTGACTTTTTTTATTTTTATTTGTGCTCATCTGGCTTTGAGACTGGGTCTTATTACATTGCCCAAACTGTCCTCAGGCTCAAAATCCTCCTGCTTCAAGCTTTATAACAAATGTGTAATACTAGTGCAGGAGAATTATCTGTATTCTGTCAATCATTTTATAAATAAACAAATGTGTAATACTAGTGCAGGAGAATTATCTGTATTCTGTCAATCATTTTATAAATAAACGCTGATTGGCCAGGCAGGAAATATAGGCGGCAAAACCAGACAGGAAGTAGAAATGATGTAATGAGAAGAGGAGAATTCTGGGAAGGAGGAAGTTGATTCCTCCCACTCCTGCCCAGAAGCAGCAGGATGTCATCTGCTACTGCAGAAAGGTACTGAGCCACATGGCTAACATAGATCAGAAAAATGGGTTAATCAAGATGTGACAGTTAGCCTGTGAGAGGCTAGAGCTAATGGGCCAATCAGCCTTATAACTTAAGAGATCCCTGTGTAATTTTTCTCTGGGACTAAACAGCTGGGGAACTGGGCAGAAAACAACAACAAACAAGCCAGGCAGCCCTCCATGTTACAGACTAGACAACAAACAAACAGGCCTGACCCCCATTCATGTTACATAATACCACCATTACACATGTCCGGCTTTTATGCTATCTTTTATTTTCCCCCTTTGGTATTTTGAGACAGGGTTTCTCTGTAGCTTTGGAGCCAGTCCTGGAACTAGTTCTGTAGACCAGGCTAGCCTCAAGCTCACAGAGATCCACCTGTCTCTGACTCCCAAGTGCTGGAATAAAAGTGCGCAAACCACCACTCAAACCTGTATTACCTACTTTTAAATTAAAATTTAATCTTCATTTTACTGGTTCCCATGCTACCTATGACAGTGTGTCTATTATCAGACAAATGACTTCAGAAAGATTAACCACAAATATTTATACAACTTTAAAAAACTTTTAGAAAGCCAGGCGGTGGTGGTGCACACCTTTAATCCCTGCACTCAGGAGGCAGAGGCAGGCAAATCTCTGGGAGTTCGAGGCCAGCCTGGTCTACAAGAGCTAGTTCTGGGACAAACACCAAACCTACAGAGTAACCCTGTCTCAAAAAACCAAAAAAAAAAAAAAAAAAACTTTTAGACCAACAAGATGCCTCAGTGGGGGGCTGGAGAGATGGCTCAGTGGTTAAGAGCATTGCCTGCTCTTCCAAAGGTCCTGAGTTCAATTCCCGGCAACCACATGATGGCTCACAACCATCTGTAAAGAGGTCTGGTGCCCTCTTCTGGCCTTCAGGCATACACACAGACAGAATATTGTATACATAATAAATAAATAAAATAAAATAAAAAAAGAAAAAAGATGCCTCAGTGGGTAAACACCACTCAAGTCTGACAAGTCTGATTTCTCGAAACCCAGAAAAAGGTGGGAGGAGAGAACAGCTCCAAAACGCTAACCTCTGAACTCCACAAGCAGAGAATGAAATGTGCACAACCACAGATCAGGCATGAGGCACACATTAATAAATACATTTTAAATAAATTTTAAGCAAAGCATATATTATGAGCTAAATTATATCCCACAAAATAAAATATTCAAGTTCTCTAAGTCAAATATCTTTGAGTAAAACTTTATTTGGAAATACTATAGTCTTTGTAAATTTAATCACATTAAGACAAAAATCATTTTGCATCGATAAGCTCTATTCTGATACTGGTGTTTTTCTTTTTGTTGTTTTGGGGTTTTTTTTAATATTATTTACTTATTATGTATACAATATTCTGTCTGCATGTATGCCTACAGGCCAGAAGAGGGCACCAGACCTCATTTCAGATGGTTGTGAGCTACATTTGGTTGCTGGGAATTGAACTCAGGACCTTTGGAAGAGCAGGAAATGCTCTTAACTGCTGAGCCATCTCTCCAGCCCCCTGCTGTTTTGTTTTGACACAACAAAATATAATATATAGGCAAGGCTGACCTGAAACTTACTATGAAGTCCAGAAGGCCTTGAACTTAAATCCTATTGTCAACCTCCCAAGTGCTAGGATTATAAATTCCAAGACTGGCTCCAAAGCTACAGAGAAACCCTGTCTCGAAAAACCAAAAACAAACAAAAAGTTCTATTAACTTTTTAGAGACTGAATATCAATTTATCTGTTTCCATTTCAACAAGCTAGTATGAGAAGATTAAATGAGATCCAAAAATAGGAAACACATCAAATATTACTTTTTAAAAAAAGAGCAGTAATTAAAAGAAAGACAAAAAGCCTGGTGGCACCAAACAGGAATCCCAAAGCAGATCTACATACGAAGTCCATGATACAGCTATGGTGGCAAATGTCTACAATCTTAGCACTTAGAAGAGGAATTTGACAGTAGCCTGCAGTTTGATAGACTTTAAAATAATAATAATAATAATGTGAATTTGAAAAAAAATTAAACTAAGAAGAGGGAAAAGTGTTTGATGTGTAAAAAGTTACCAGTGTACTACGGTGGAAAAGAGTGTGTGGTACTATACCTACTTCAAATATGCACTGTGAACCACAAACCTGTAAAACACTCCAGTTAAAATTAATTTAGACTACATCCCAATTTTTTTTTTTTTTTTTTTTTTTGGTTTTTCGAGACAGGGTTTCACTGTGGCTTTGGAGCCTGTCCTGGAACTAGCTCTGTAGACCAGGCTGGTCTCGAACTCACAGAGATCCGCCTGCCTCTGCCTCCCGAGTGCTGGGATTAAAGGCGTGCGCCACCATCGCCCGGCTACATCCCAAATTGAAACTAATAGCATCTACCTATGACCCAGTTAAACTGAATGATATATGAAAATAATATATAAGCTTAAGTCAGGTGATTTTCATCATATGAAGATAATGGTCAGAATAAAAAATTTACCAAGTTAACAGTAAAAGTACAAACTTTGAAGTGCTTCAAATCTGCAGATAAAATCAATTACTAATCTGCCATTCTTGTTTCCTTTATAAGTGTATTCCTCTTCATGCCTACTTTTACCTCAATACACTAAAAGACAATTTAACTATTTAAAACTATAATTCCTTCCTTAACTATTTAATTTACGCTAGCTTAAGGCAAAATTTAGCCAGGCATAGTAGCACATGCCTGTAGTCTAAGAACTAAGAGGCACAAGCAAGAGCTTACCTGTTAAGCTCCAGGCCAGCCTGGTCTATGCAGGCTACATATCTAACTGTAGATATATAGCAAAACCCTGTCCCCAAAAGCAAACAAACAAGCACACAATTTCTCACCATTAACTGCTTCTTTTTCTCACCAAATCATCAATTACTCCAGAAATAAAAAGGGTTAGCTTCACTTTATAGTCTAAAAACACTGCAGTTCCTTCTCATATCATTCTTGGGTAGGTTTTACAGACAGGCACTTTGAAGTACTCAGAATAAAACAAATTAAATTACTTATAAAAACGAAAACCTAAAGAGCTTTAGTGCCATCTACTGGAGACCACAGCTTATGTAATTTTTCACCAAAATTTATTTTCTAACAAAATTCCAAAGACATATTCAAACTGCCTAGCCATAAATTACATAATGTGTTAATCAATTCTTAAGATGAATCTGCTCACTTTACCCCTATATTACAGTAAAAACCTCATCTAATGAAACTGCAAATGTATGCTATCCAACAATTCTTCCCAGAGAAAACACAAAAACACAGAAATGAAGATACAGCAAATAAGAACATAATATAAGATTTCCTTTTCAAAATCAAAACATTTTACTTTTTTTTTTTTTTTTTTTTTTGGTTTTTTGAGACAGGTTTCTCTGTAGCTTTGAAACCTGTCCTGGAACTAGCTCTTGTAGACCAGGCTGGCCTCGAGCTCCACAGAGATCCACCTGCTTCTGTCTCCCGAGTGCTGGTGGGATTAAAGGCGTGCACCATCACTACTCAGCACGTTTTACTTCTTTAAGATGATTTAGCAGCATAGCTTGATCTTCAGATCCTCAGAAGCTGAAAATCAAGACAGGAAGGTAGGCAGGAACACACATACATGCATGCATGCATACATACATACTACGTATGTACGTACGTACACACATGTGGAATAGGAAGATACAAATCTATGAAGGATAACAATAACATTTCTTCGAGAGTTAGAACACTTTTTGGACTTTTTTTCATTTATGTATCAAATGTTTTGCAAATTTCCATTTCATCCTTGCAAAAAAATTAAACACTTGACACATTATTCTGATTACACAGGTAGAGTATTATTTTTCTTAAATTTGGAATGGATTACAATTGGGACTGACGGAACTTACTGAGGTGCTACACGTCTCCAGTAACGATCAATTCCATGTTTAAAATACAGCACAGCAAGCCACCTGACATTCATATCAAGGGTGTGGTTCGTAAAAATATTCTGTGAATGAGAAAACAAATAATGTTAGAAGGAACATGTACTCTTTTAAAAGTATAATTAACATACCAAAATAAAGCATGGATTTCTCTAACCGCTTTATTTTTTTAATGTGGGTATGTACTCAAGCATGCGTATGCGCATTCATCTTGTGGATGGTTTCATACGGAAGCCAGAGGACAACTCCAGGTGTCTCAGAAATGGCACTGCCTCCTTTGAGACAGGGCTTCTTATTGGCCTAGAGCTCATCAATTAGGCCAGACAGGGATCATCCTGTCTCCAACCCTACCACACCTGGCTTTTTTTTTTTTTTTTAAGTTTTTTGAGACAGGGTTTCTCTGTAGCTTTGGATCCTGTCCTGGAACTAGCTCTTGAGACCAGGCTGGCCTCGAAATCACAGAAATCCACCTGTCTCTGCCTTCCGAGTGCTGGGATTAAAGGTGAGCGCCACCACCACCCGGCCACACCTGACATTTTTACACTGAGTTTTGGGAATCAAATTCAGGTCCTCTGTAGTGATATTTTATTTGTATTTTAATAAGTAAAGCTTGCCTGAAGATCAGAGTGCAAAGCTAAGCCATTAGAGGTCAGGGAGTGGTGGCACACACCTTTAATCCCAGGACTTGAGAGACAGAGGCAGACAGAGCTCTGTAAGGCTATTCTGAGCTACAAAAGATCGCTCCAGAAAGAGATCCAGGTGGTGGTGGCTCACACCTTTAATCCCAGCATTAGGGAAGTGGGGAGAGGAATATAAAGGGAACAGGAACTCACAGGAGCATGGTGTCTGAGGTTTGATAGAAACCCCTATATCTGTCTCTGAGTTTTTATTATTCATGGTACAGTTATCCAACAACACTTCACCAACTTTACCAAACAGCCCTATGTGTTTGATTTTTGGGAAAATATCTCATGTATTTCATCCTGGTCTCAAACTTGTTATATAGCCAATAATGACTCTGAACTTCGTGCCTCTACTTCCAGATGCGGGGATCACAGAAATGTGCCACCATGCCCAGTTTATGAGATGCTGAGGACAGAACCCAAGGCTCCATGCATGCTAGGCCAGTACTCTAGCAATTGATCTATGACCTCAGCCCAGATTTTTTATTGATTTTAAATTTCATCACTACATATGTCATATGTACATATTCTTAAAATATATATTCTACAATCTAGACTAAGAAAGCAGGCCTACTTAGCCAGATGTTACCTGAAACCTCAGCATCAAGAATACTAAGGCAGGTACATCTCAAGTTTCAGGTCAGCCTAAGATATATAGTGAGACCTGGCTAACCCCATCAAAGAAGATAGCATACCTATTCAATAGCATTTAACTAAGTTTAATCAACAGATGAACATGTAAAGATTCATAATATTCTTTCAAGTACATTAGAAAATTTCCTTGATAAAAAATCAGAAGTAACAATATATATGCACAGAGAGAAGAGATAAGAAATGAGAGAGAGAGAGAGAGAGAGAGAGAGAGAGCGCTCACTGAAATAAATATGTTCTAAATTTCAAAAGAAAACGTAGCTAGGCATGATGCCACACACATAATCCCAGCATTTAAAAGGCAGAGGCAAGATAATGGCAGCAAATTCAAAGTGTTCAAGTCTAACCAAGGATACACAACAAGATCTTGTCTCAAAAATAAATGGATAAATAAATAATAGGTGCCTCCACAGCACAGATTCAAAGGCCCTAAGGAGTCTAAGTCCCTGGGTTGTTATTACATGTTTGACATTGTAATGGGTAATCTTGACAGGATCCAAAATCACCTGGGACACAAGCCTCCAGGCATGCATGTGAGGGATTATCTTGTTTAGGAAGGCCACGAGTCATGCCTGTGATGTCTTATTTTTCGGTTAATTGAGATAAGACCTACTCGAAAAGTAGAGACACCATCTCTGGGTAAATGTCCTGGGCTGTAGAAACAGGAGAAAAGGTAGCTCAGCCTAACCATTCATTGCATTCTGCTTCCTGACCATGGATTCAATGTGACCAAGTACTTCAAGCTCCTGCTAGAATGTCTTCCCATCCACGATGGACCGTATTCTTAAACTGTGACTGAACCTCAATCAACTTTTCCTTCCATAAATTGCTTTTGTTAGTGCATTTTAATCACAGCAATAGGAAACACAATATAAGAAAATGCAGTGAAATTGTGTTTTAATAAATAAAGGTTGCCTGAAGATAGGAGTGCAAAGCTAGCCACACAAGTCAGCCACACGGGCAGGCAGTGGTGGTACACGCCTTTAATCCCAGCAGCCACACGAGTTTGCCATAGAGGCCGGACAGTTGTGGTATATGCCTTTAATCCCAGCACTAGAGAGAAATAAAAGGTGGGGTGAGACAGAAACTGTCTCTCTTTTCATCTAAAGGTTTCATAGAGATAAGAGCTCTCCAGTGGTTGGCTGCTTTGCTTCTCTGATCTTTCAGCTTGACCCCCAATATCTGTCTCTGGGTTTTTATTACTCATGCAATATCTGGCGCCCTATTTCACAGTAACAAGACTACTTACCAAAGCAATCATGCTTCTGGGGCAAGAGAAATGGTTCAACAGTTAATTAAAAACACTTGTTGCTCTTCCAGAGCACCTGGGTTTAGTCCCCAGCATCCAAATGGAGGCTCACAACTATTTGTAACTCCAGTTCCAGAAGGATATGATGCAGTCTTCTGGCCTCCATGGGCACTGCATGCATGTGTACATATATATATACATGCAGGCACACACACTCAAAAAATTTAATCCCAACATTGGGGAGCTAAGACAGGAGGATCACTGAGTTTGAAGTCAACACCTGCCATACAACAAGAAATTGTCTCAATCCCCTCCCCCAAAGAGTCTATACACATATACACAAATAAAACTACTTTTGAAAATGTAGCAATATAGCAATTAATGTATAAATAACACAAAGCAATACACGAAAATAGAAACACAGGAAAAATGAACTTAAGCAGTTATTAATAAGACATATATTCACTCAGGAAGTAAGAGCAGGAAATAAGGAGTTCAAAACCACATTAGGCTACGTAAGACTCCTGCCTCAAAAACAAAAGAAAAAAAAGCAAAGTAAAAAATATAAAAGATCCTGTCTAACAAAAATTTAAATTTCTAGATGGAAAAAAAAAACTACAGTATTTCGCCAGTCATGGTGGGGGGGTGTGCCAGGAGGCAGAGACATGAAGATATTCCTGTACTGGCGGTCAGTCTGGTCAACAAAACAAGTTCCAGGCAAACAAGGGTTACATAGTGAGAGCCAAAAACAAAAACAATGTTTTAAAGTTAAACACACGATACAAGGGGAATCAGTTCAATGGTGAATACTTGCCTAGCATGCACCAGACCCTAGGTTTGCTGCCCATCACTGAGAAAAAAAAAGAAAGCACCAAAGCAGTACAAGGCTAGGCAGTTATGGAGCTCGTCTTTAATCCCAGCACTGGGAAGACAGAGGCAGGCAGATCTCTGTGAGTTCAAGGCCAGCCTGGTCTACTGGGCTAATTCCAGGACAGCTAACACTGTTACACAGAGAACCCTGTTGCAAAATAACAAATGAAACAAAACAAAAATAGTAAGAGGCAGAGGCAGGCAGATCTCTATGAGTTCCAGACCAGCCCAGTCTACAGAGTGAGTTCCAGGGCAGCCAGAGCTGTTACACAGAGAAACCCTGCCTCGTAAAAAACACAAACAAACAAACAAAACAGAAAAGGTTTTAATTAAATTACAGTAAGAACAATAAAAAGAAAATACCTAAAATGCTGATTCATCAACAAATAACTGAAACATTCTCATGAGCCCACATTACCATGACAACAGTGACAATGGTGGCCAAATGTCTGCAGCAGTTTCACTAAACTAACAGTCCATCTCCATACTTAAAGAACTAGTAAAATAACGGCACCCCTACTGTATTAAAGACAAACTATTTCAAGAACTACTCACCAGCAACACTGAGTAGAAACCTGGCTGTGTCTCCCATTGCTTCAGCTGCTCCTCAGCGGGCTTTAAAACAGCAGTATCCTGACTGGTGGCCTGGGTTAAGACCTGGAGAACTACAGAGCTGGCACTATTGAGATCCATGGAAGCCTGCAAAGGTAAGTCAGCACATCTGAGTACACAGTATATGTATTACAAACGGACAGTCACACAAACACTTTCTCCCCACCTGACCTCTACGTTTTCTATACTAGCTACACCATTACTTAAAACTCCCACAATTCCAATTACTTTTACTTAAATTATATTTCTAAAGGACACTGCTTTTACTGTTTCATAAATAAAATAAAAGTGAGACTGGAGAACTGACATACACAAAACTGCAAATTTCCAAATTCTGATTAAATACCATTTCCTACCTCAACATCTGTTATCAAAATCATTTTAAAGATAAAATGCAAATGTGAAACATAATACACAGAGAGAGAAACGCATACTCACTAATAATTGAAAAATAAACTAAGTTAACTACAATCCTTGCACATAGCAAAACTCTGTCTCAGAAAAGAGAGGTAGGAAGATACTGTTACATATTAAATACTGTAAACCTTCCCCAAGGCATATGCTAAAATCTAATGCCTAATATCTTGGCATTTGGAGCTAAGAAGTTATTAAATCATCAGTACAGATCCCTCATGCATAGTCCAAATGCGCCTATATAAGAGGACATTAGAGAGCTGCCTTGTTCTTTCAGCCATATAAGGATACAATAAAAAGTCTGCAACCAGCAGATGGTCCTCATCAGTATCTAACTATGCCAGCACCCTGAGTTCAAGGCTAACATGGGCTGTGGAGTAAGACGCTGTCTCAAACTAAAAGCAAGGCCAGTAGGATGGTAACACCAAGCCTGATGTGACCTGCACTCAATTCCCAGGACCAGCTCCCACAAAGTAAGTATCTTATCTAACAAACCAAGAGCTACATAAAGTTAAGAAATGTGTATTCTTTGTCCATATATGCCATCGTAGTTCATCACAGTACAAAGCAAGCAGGTATGCTCACCTGCACAGAGATAGCACTGCTACACTGAGCTGAGCCCACCTACATCAATTACTAAGCAAGAAAATTCCCCCACAGACATGGCGATAGGGCAGCATGATGAAGGCCAATTCCTCAACTGAGGTTCCCTCTTCCCAAGAGACCAGTTTGTGTCACAGTGACAAGTGAAGTGAAGTATGACAACCCCTCAACTCAGACTTTCTAACGTCTGAACCTCTCAAGTGTGACACACCATATTTGGCCAAAGATTTCATTCAATAACAGCTATTTTTCATTACTCTTTGCCAGGTGCTATTCTAGTTTCTAGGATACACTTGGAACAAACTTATGTCCTTATTCCCTGGTTATTAAATTCAAATCAACAGGCTGTACTATAATGGTCTATATATCCTAACCTCTGCTATGGGATGATGGTCTTTCTGGACGCTGTGAATAGCTGTTGCTCTCATTGGTTGACAAATAAAGCTGTTTTGGATAGAGCCAGGTGGAAAATCCAAGCAGAGATACAGGAGAAGAGTAGAGTCTGGGAGACACCAGCCAGCTGCCAAGGAAGCAAGACATGTAGAAAATGACGTAATGCTACAGCCACATGGCAAAACATAGATTAATAGAAATGGGTTAATTTAAATGTAAGAGATAGCTATTAAGCCTTAGACGTTGGTCAAGCATTTATAAGTAATATTAAGCCTCTGAGTGGTTATTCAGGAACTGCAAGGCGGGCGAGAAACAGATACGTATGATCTTATAGCATTACTATATCTAAACCCACTTCTTTGATCAAATGAAACAGAATAACAAAACACTTCTGTTAAATTAGTGAAATCTTTCTAGCCAAATATGGTGTACTACAATTGAAATCCCAGCATTCAGAAGACATAGAAGATCACTTCTAGTTTGAGTAGACTGTCACAGTCTACGTAGTTAGTGTGTTCCAGACTACCAAGGACTACATAGTAAAACACTATCTCAAAACACAAACAACAGGGGGCTGGAGAGATGGCTCAGAGGTTAAGAGCATTGCCTGCTCTTCCAAAGGTCCTGAGTTCAATTCCCAGCAACCATATGGTGGCTCACAACCATCTGTAATGGGGTCTGGTGCCCTCTTCTGGCCTGCACGCATACATGGAAGGAATGCTGTATACATAATAAATAAATAAATATTTAAAAAAAAACACAAACAACAATAAAAAGTAACCAATCAATTTTTAATAAATCCTGCTCTCTACATACAGTTGTGTAAATCCACAAAAAGCAGCCACTTCTCCCTTTTCAATCCTCCTCAGTCTAACCTTCACAGAACATAATATTACTGGTATCAATTCCTGATAATTCTACTTACATTCAGTCTTTAACATGAAACAGCCTATATGAGCCGTGCACCACTCCAAAAGAAATACAGTAAAGGAATCTTTGCATTCAATTCTACAAAGGGAAAAAGACAAGCTAAAATATACCATAAAGATATGTTAAGCGTTACGGAGGAAAAACTCACAAGTTTACACTCTAGCAGGCTTAGCAGAGGCTTTCCCTCACAGAGGACTGAAAGAGCGTAGTCTTGAAAGTTGCATAAGAGATCCCTAGATCAGTGCATGCTGTGGCTGTCAGACAGGTGAAGGTTACATTCCCTACATAACATGATCCAAACTTATTTTAATCCAATTACTTTTGAAGAATTACAGTTTAGCATGAGACAAGGAAAGGGACTGTGGTGGTTTGAATGAAAATGGCCCCCATAGGCCCACAGGGACAGGCACTATTAGAAGGTGGGGTCTTGTTGAAGTAGGTGTGGCCTTGTGGGAGGACACATGTCACTGAGGGTGGGCTTTGAGATTTTAGAAGCTCAAGCTGGGGGGGAGGGGGACGGGCCTTACTTTCTCTTTCTGCAGCTACTGCTGACCCAGATGGAGGACTCTCAGCTCCTTCTGCCTGCATTCTGCCATACTTCCTACCATAATAAATTATGGACTAAATCTCTAAATTTAAGTCAACCCCAATGAAATGTTTTCCTTTGTAAGTCATGGTGTCTCTTCACAGCACTAAAACCCTAAAGCAGGGGTTTATAGAAAATTAAATTTATCTGCACTTGAAAATGAGAACTACCGACCTCCACAACTATTAGAAAATAAATTTCTAGTGTAATATAACTCATCCGTAGGTAACACAGCAACAACGCCTTTAAGGAGAAAGAAGAGAAAGTCAAAAGTTAATAGTCTCTGCAAGAAACAGAAAAGCATTGTTAGGAACATACAAAATTACTAGGCTCCATAGCTACTATTTAAGAAATGTTCATAGTTGGGAGCGATGTGTGAGTAGATATATTAGTGGACAGCCACAAAGATTAAGAGAGTGACCAATCACTTTTTATGGATTCAAGGTCACTCCATGAGATGGAACCCACACCTGACACTGCTACAGGGACCAAAAATATGAGACTAGAGAGGTCATGGGCCTAGAGGAGAACTTACTGCTACCATTCTGTCACAGGAACAGCAATAAAATGACTCCTAACAACATTCCACTACAGTCACAGACCAATGCCTCGCTCAGCTTATTCTTGCAGGAGACAAAAATTAACAAAGAGACCCACAACTGGACAATGTTCAGAAAGTGAGAGTTTGGGACACCCCGTCCAAAATAGGATGTCTTCATTAAACCCCTCGCCTCAACGCTTGGGAATCTATGGAGAACAGGAGGCAGAAAGACTGGGAAAGCCAGAGCTGATGGATGACTCTATGCAAACAGTGTCTCCCAGACATCAGAACCTATGCACATATCAACTCCTATGTGGTATGAGAGTCTGGAGTAGCATAAATAAGAAATGCACAGCTTCAAGACAGACCAGGTCCTAGCACTGAGGGGAGAAATGGACATGGGATCCCATCCCTAACAAAGATGCTATCTGTAACTGACACCTACTTGGCAAAGGAAATCTGCTATCTCTAATGAAGTACCACTGAGTATATCAACCATACTTAAGGGCAGGCCCAACACAAAACAAAACCAATAGCATTTTTATGAACTTTTAGCTTCATTTTTTGTTTTGGGGTTTTTGTTTTGTTTTTGTCTTACAGGTATTTTGCCTATTTGTTTGATTTTTTTTTTTTTTTTGCTTTTTGAGGAGGTGTTTCGTGTGTGTGTGTGTGTGTGTGTGTGTAAGAGAGCAAAAATACATAAAGTTGGGTAGATAGGGAGGTGGGGAGGATATGGGAGGAGTTGGAGGAAGGTAAAAAACATAAAATATATTGCATGAAAAAATTAATTTAAAAATGAAAAAAAATGTTTGTTGTTGGGTTGGAGAGATAGCTCATTAGCTAAGGGTACTGGCTGCTCTTGCAGAGGACCTGAGTCTCTCCCAGGATCCAAACAATGGCTCATAACTATCTGTAACTCCAGTTCCAGGAGATCCAACACCCTTTCAGGCCTTGCCACCAGGCACACATACGGGGCACAGAAATATATGCGGGCAAAACATTCAAACAAATAAAAGTAAATAACTTCCACTCAAAAAAATGCTCACTGTTGAATTCCTATCTGTCACTCACAAATGTTTGGAACAGCTGGTATAATAAAGCCTGACAGTGACCAGGAAAAGCAATAGGATGAATCAGAGTCAGAGTTACAAGTACAGATACGTATGATCTTATAGCATTACTATGTCTAAACCCACTTCTTTGATCAAATGAAACAGAATAACAAAACACTTCAAATTAAATGATGGACTTTTACACACACACACACACACACACACTCCAACTTCCACTGACAAAAGCAGTACATCTCAAAACTTTACTGAACATTCCTCTAATCTGGAATTCTTATTAAAATGCAGAATCTGTTTAAGTTATTAATCAGGGCCCTCACTGTTAGGAATAGAAAACACCCCTAGGTCAGGAGGCCCAAGACTTCCAACACAACACAGGCAAACTGCCACTCCCAGAATGAGAATGTAAGGCCGTACAGCTAAATAAAATAAAATGCCACATGCGTCACTCACAAGATATAAAGAACTCAAGCTAGAACTGGATTGGAAGCTCCTTCTCTGCTGGCAAGTTCTCATAGTGTTAGAAAGAGCTATGCTGGCTGCTGGGGAAGAATTGTCATCAACAGTCTTGAACAGTTACGTGAGCCCTGTGCTCAACAATACTAACAACTGAGGCAAAATGAGGCCACCGGTACAATAGTGGTAAGTCTGTTACTGGGTTAACCAACTGCAGTCTGATTGAATTTGATGCCCACTGACAGGAGGGTCTTCACATCTGGCACTGTAAACCCAGTCAAACACCCATGGCTGGACAGGTTAGAGGCCCTAGAAGCGAACCTTCTTTTGCTGTTTTCCAAAATCGACATGATGTACTTATCAAAACTGCCTTCTAAATAACTGTTGTTATTATTATTTCAGATCTGTGCTGCTATCTGCTTTGGTCACAGAAGCTTTCTGCAATGGTCAGCAGTGACTACAATGGTCAAAGTACTGAGACTAAATTATTGTTGAATGCCCATGCAAGTGTAAACAAATCTTCACCAACGTTCCTATAAACAATCCTAATTAATATCATAGCAAAGAGATAGAGACATAGACAGAAACAAGAGAGAGACAGACATGAAGATAGAAAGGAGCTAGTTAGAACAGGAAATGTATTAATGGAAGGGGCACAGGAGGGTAATGGGGTGGATATGATCAAAAAATATTATAACATGTACGAAAATGCCAGAATGACACCTATTATCATATATAACATATACTAATTAATAAAAAACAAGTTTTAAAAACACCTTGGTAAGTAGCTTCTATTTCAGTAACTTTTCAATTGAGCTGGAAGTGTATACTTTACAAAATTCCCAAATTTTGAGGAGCAAAGATGTAGAACACTAATTGAACTTATGTTCAACAAAACTTATAATTGTAGGTTTAGTGGTGGTCAGTCTCATAATTAGAAATTCAAACAAAAGACACTCTAGAAGCACACCTGCAAAAGATGTGATTAGCCATTCTGTAAAACACCCTGGGATTAGCTGACGATACCCATCACACGCACACAGACCAAGAAAGAACCAAGGCTAGGGGACGGCAGTGCAGGGGACGACTGTTTGCACAGCATACATAAGTCCCTGGGTTCTATCACTAACACCACAAAAAAGAAAACCAAAGACAAAAAAACGAAGATACAGAAATAGCTTAGTAGTAAGACATGTGCAAGGCTCTGGGTTCTGCCTCAACACTGCAAAAATAAAATAAAGATTAAAAAAAAAAAACCTTAAAATTACTAACGGTAATGCTACATTAAGCCTGATGTGGTAGCACACACCAGCAGTGTGAAAAGGGAGTGAAAGGTAGGCAGATCTCCATGAGCTTAAGGCCAACCTGGTCTACATGGAGCTCTACACCAACCAAATCTACATAGTGAGAGCCTGTCAAAATTAATAATGATAATAATAACAAATTAGAAGGAAGATTAAATATACACAAATGCAAAACAAATATCAAGAACCAACTAATCATACTGGAGAAATGGCTTGGCTGTCAAATGGCTTGCTACTGACAAAGAGGCCCCAAGTTCTGTTCCCAGCATGTATGTGTCAGGTGGCTCACAACTGCCTGTAATTCCACTACAAGATGAACAACTTCATCCATCCAAGACAACTTCTGCCTGTGCCAGCACCAGCACACACATGACATACACATACATGCATGGACAAGAACATAAATTCAGATTAAAAATAAAACCAAACATTGTCTTTCCCTAAATATGGATAATTTCATTCCGGAGAAACATTTTCAGTATATTTTAAGTTCAAATGCTGCAAGCATTTTTTTCGGCCTTTTAGTTTGGTTCTGAATGCAAATACATTCGTAACATCACAAAATCTAAATACTTGTTTAATTACCAAGCAATTTTTGCATACTTCTTTAAAACCTCCAATCATATTGCTACATCCAAATATCTCTGAGAATCCTCTTTTCGCTTTGAGAAGTGTAAACAGGACAGAGTACACCCTTCTGCCTTACAGCTATAACACACATCCACAAACCACTGCCATAATTAAACTGTTTGCATCAGTCCCTGTGCTAGATACCGTCAAAAAACAGAAAGAAAGAAAAACTACAATTTTATCGCAACCAACATAGAGAAATTCTCTAATTTCACAAAAACTGTTCTCAGTGTGGAACAACGATGTAAGGAAAGCTATGGAGCCATGAGTAGTCCATTTGATGAAGTCATTCTGCCCTCAACCAAAGCAGAGAAATTTGAAACAATGTGGAAATGGAAGAGAGAAATCCCTATCCATGGTTGCAGACTGTTCTTCCTTGCTTCCTTCTAAAGAATAAGCAAATCTTAAAGGCGCTATCGCATACAACATATGTTGTATGCGTTTGTTTAATGTGTGATGAGGAGGTATGCCGATCATAACCTTGGCACCAGAAATGACCAGGCTTTGCGATTGACGCAAATCACTTTGCTGTACGATTCCCTCATTCGCCACGTACTAAGAGGATTAAGGAGAAATGCCAAATGCTCTGGGCCTCGACATAATTTTTGCTGAATCACAAATATTCCCAAATGTAAAGCTGCAGGAGTCGCCGAGTCTGAGCACCGGCGGCCATACCTCAGAAAGAATCTCCACTCCGAAAAACGTCCAAGTCTTTTTTCCCTTAAAAGAGAAGGACTAATGTTTAAAGCTTTCACAGCACTGCTTCCACAGCAAGGTCGCCTGTACAGTTAACAGCATACACTGGTTTTGGTGGCAGAAGCACGTCTTCCTGCACTGTGCAACCCCAAGCCTCCAAGGACAAATAGAACCCACCGCCCCAGCCGGCGACAGGGGACACAATGGGTACCCTCAGCGTAGCTCAGCCTGTCACTCAGACCCTGCCACCGCGCTCCGTAGACCCAGCGATGTCAGGCTTCCCGCAGCCCGGGAGCCTGTGCTTCCCCCCGGGCTATTCCAGGGCCGCGAGGGCCCGCGGCGTCCAGCTCAGGTGGACCCACGTTCCGCCCTCGGCTCGCGGGGTCCCTCTGGCCAGTCCACTCGTCCCTTTCAACCGCGCGGCTCGCGGCCCGGCCTCACCGTGTGCCTCGGTCCGGAACACCCCGGCCCGCCCCTTTCCACTCGTCCACACGAAGTGGCGTTGGTTGCTTCCGCGCCCCCCACGCTGCTAGTCCGCACGCTGCCGCCTACTGAGGCCGAAAACGGCTTCTAGGAACGCGCCATGTTCCCTGTCGCCACTCCAGACGACGCGGGCGCGCTAAAATGACGTCACAGGATCCCGGCGCGGCGCGCAGGGGCGAGGCCGAGGATGATAGGCGATAGGTTGGAGGAGGGGAGAGGAGGGAGGAGCTCGTGTTCAAACCCAGAGGCGCGCGGCAGCCAACGCAGCCCTGTGCGCTTGCGTGGTACACGGAGCCGTGCGCAGGCGTGGGTACCCGTTACTATGGAAACCGTAAGTCCCGGGAAAATCGGTTGTTTTCCTGGGCTGGTTGAAGTGTAAGTCAAAACCATTTCATCTTCACTCTTCTAGATATCAACTACTTGTTTCATGGGTCTGTCACAGCACAAGAGCGTTATCAAAAGAATCCCATGCACCATAGGAATTTGTTCAAGTTTGGACGGGCTTTATTTTGCGGTTTTGTTTTTTTGTTTGTGTGGGTTTTGATTTTTGCTTTCTTTTATTTTGTCTTGTTTTAGTATTGTGTCGGCGGAGAATTAAGAGGCTCTCACGAACCCAGGCTGGGATCACAGCCTTTTTTGTAGCTGACCATCATATCGTGACTCTCCACATCCCAGATGTTCAGACTACGTGCATGTCTCCCAAGATCTACATTTTCTATTTCCTGAACTTGAGTGTTCTACTCCACAGCAACACCACGGGTGAAAAGATTTCAAAAGACCAGTGCTATCTAGCCCTGCAAGCTAGTTTACGCTTTTTTTGTTTTTAAGAAGAGAACTTGTGAGGAATATTAACTGTATTCATAAAATCCAATAGAATTTGTTGTTAGCTTAGGATGTGCACAATACAGTCTCAAGATCTTTAGGTTGAATGACCCATTTTAATCCCCAAGACAATCCTGTGAGGGAGATCCATTATTATGTCCATTTTACAAAAGAAGAAGCTGGAACACAGATAAGTCAACATGCTTAAGTTCAATAGCTAGTAAATACAAGCGTTGAAGTTTGTACTAAAAACAACAGTAAGCTCTTCTTTATAAGAATGTCTCTCATACAAAGACTTTTTAAAATCAATACAAAAATAAAAATTCCCTCAATACAAATACATGATGTTGTCATTGAAGGTCTGGTTGACACAGGTGCAGACGGAGCAATAATTTCATCATAATCTTGACATTTAAATTGACCTCTTCAGAACGTAATGTTCAATTTTTAGGGATCAGAACTTTATCTCAGGTAAAGTAGAGCGCAAGATGGATTTAATGTATAGGAACAGAATGACAAAGAGGAATATTAAAACCATATGTGACTAACATAGCAATGGAATATGTAGGGATGTGATGTGTTACAGCAATGGAATACTCAATAATATTCCCCCAATCTTAGAAATAAACCATAAATTAACATATTTATGGGGAAAAGGTTTTTATTTTTATTATTTGCGCTACAATAAACTTTAAAATCAGCACAACAATTCCAGAACCTGGGAGACAAAATCAGGAGGACTGGCACACTTTTGAGAGCAGGCTTCATGGTGTACTCCAGGTGAGCCAGAACTACAAAATGCAACTGTGACTCCAAAAGCAAACAAACCACCCATGAAACTTCAAAAGGAACGAAATAAAGAAGTTATACATATCTAAAGAGCCTGGAATAGGCTGAGAAAGCTCAGTGGGAGAGTGCTCGCCTGTTATGCACGTGACAAAAAGGACTGATTCTGTGAAGCAATTTTCATTTTCCATATTCTACTAGAATTAACTATAATGCTCAAGCTGATCAGATGAAGAACCGTCTCCAGGAGCAGGCCGTGCTAAATAGAGTCAACTCTGCAAACAGAGGTGTAGGTGAGCCAGCCCCGAAGCTGTGACCATGGGAGAGCTGTCCTCATTTCTTGTATGACAGACCAACCTTATGTCTGCCCGACCCAGACACAGGCATATGACTTGGCCTGCCCCTCTATGTCCTGCTGGAGCACATGAAGGGACCTGACCTGCAGACCTGGAGCTGCAGGATTTCCACAGCACAAGGTCACATCAGGATACCCAGGAAGAGTCCTATTGAGGACACGGCATCAATAGTGTAGTAGAAGCCTCAAACCAGACCAATGACACTTTGCAACAAAAACATGGAAGCAAAGATTGTGGGCAGAAGGGTTTACAGTGTGACTTACTGTGCCACACTACAGCTTCCATGACGAGATTTCTATATTTTCCTCTTTTTTCCCTCTTAAATATTGTTTTATTTGGTGGGAGTACAGGGGCAGAGGGTGAATGCAAAGCGACTGGGAAATGAATGGGATCAAGATAAATGATGTAAGCTGGGCGGTGGTGGTGCACGCCTTTAATCACAGCACTTGGGAGGCAGAGGCAGGCGGATCTTTGTGAGACTGAAGCCAGCCTTGTCTAAAGTATGTTCTAGGACAGGCTCCAAAGCTACACAGAGAAATCCTGCCTTGAAAAAGAAAAAATAATAATAATACATGTTGAGTAGAGGCTGTTTGTTTGTTCCCAGCAGCTCAGACACAAAATAAACACTCAGAAACTATATTATTTGTCATACTGCTTGGCCAATAGCTTAAGTGTATTGCTAGCTAGCTCTTATATCCTAAACTAACGCATCTCCATTAGTCTGTGCATCACCACTAGGTTATGGCCTATGAGCGAAGTTTTCGCGAGCTCCAGCAGAGGAATCAGCCTCAGTGGCAGCTACATGGCTTCTCCTGACTCTGCCTACTCTCTCTATATATCTCTTTCAGCCTGGCTTTACTCTGTTAAGCCATTGGCTGAAAGCAGCTTCTTTATTAACCAATGGCAATAAGACATATTCACAGCATACATATACAGAATGGTACACCAATGTGTGCCATCTAACTATACATAAAAACTGAGAGAGCTTGGAAAGAAATTTTAGACACTCACACACACACACAAGTTTAGCTGCATTTTTTTGGATGGGCTCTGTTTGCTGGCAGTAAACAGGGGCACTTCAGGTCCTTTAAGAGAGATCTTCCTTGTGGTTTCAAAATGGCCGCTAATTGGTCTGTGCTGCACCACATGACTACCTCTCGGCCTATTACTTTTGAATAACTTAAAAAGTGTGTGAGAGTCCATCTGCATCCATGCCATGGCACACGTGTGGAGGTCAGAGGTCACCCCTTCCATTTCCATGAGGCAGGTTTCTGCCACAGTGCAGGGTACTCTGGAATAGCTGGCCTTCAAGCTCCCAAGCTATCTCTACCTATAGGAGTGCTACACAACAAATCCAGCTTTGGGGGAGGGGTAGGAAATGTGGGTTCCAAGGATATAACTCAAGTTCATTAGGTTTCAATCACTAGCATATTTTACCTGCGGGAGACCATCTCGAAGAGGATGAAGACCTAACAAAACACCAAAAGAAAAAGTTATTTTAGATCTATTTATATCACAATTCTATGTGTATGAGTGTTTTCCCTTCATGTTTGTGTTCCGTGCTTATCTGGTACCCAGAGGTCAAAGCAGCTATTAGATCTCCTGGAACTGGAGTTACAAACAGTTGTGAGCTGTTGTGTGAGTGCTGGGAATTGAACCTGGGCCTTCTGCAGGAGCAACATGTACTCTTAAACACTGAGTCATCTTAAACCCTTTTTAATCTGTGAAAAAGCTAAATTGGCCATGCAGTACATTGAACAGCCTGGAAATATCTCTGTGTATGGTAGCAGGAATCCTCCCCACACCACCCCCGCCTGCCCAGGCAGGGAGTGCTGAACCATGGGCATGGTCTCAGCTACTTTCCTCCTAAACCAGAGCCTCCTAAACCAGGCCCACAAACCCAGTTCAAGTGCTCTGTAGACAGACCTCCGGAAAGAGTTGGAGCTGTTTGTGCTGGTGAGCCAGGAAGTCACCACCACACATTTTTTGCTGCTAATAATGAATCTCCAGGAAGACCTCTCTTAAAGGAGCCATTAGCACCCCTGCTCGCTGCCACAAAACAGAGCCCATCCAAAAAAAGAAAAAAAAATGCTGGCTACCAAGTCTCTAACCCTCAAACAAAATTTGTATACCTTCCAGGCAGGCAAAAAAAAAAAAATGTTTTAAAGAACTAGTGAGAGGAGTTGCACCCTTCTTTTAGGGGCAGTAAACTGTTGGAATCACTAAGATTCCCACGTAATATTTATGTTATGTACTTCCCTGGCTATTCCATGTCTTTATCTTCCTCAAATTTTTTGGTTAGTGTGGTGGTTTGAAAGAAAATGGCCCGTAAGAGGAATGGCACTATTAGGTGGTGTGGCCTTGTTGGAGGAGGTGTGGCCTTGTTGAAGGAAGTGTGTCATTGTGGAGGCAGGCTTTGGGGCCTCATCTTATATAGATGAGGTCAAGCCAGGCCCAGTGAGACAGATCACTTCCTGCTGCCAGCATATGATGATCAGTTCCTTTTCTTTTCCAGCACCATGTCTACCTGCATGCCACCATGATGATAATGGACTAAACCTCAGAAATTGTAAGCCACCCCAATTAAATGTTTTTCTTTATAAGAGTTGCCATGGTCATGGTGTCCCTTTCCAGCAATAGAGTCCCTAAGACAGTTAGCTTTATGGGTATGGTTTTTCTCTGCATTTTCTTATTTCTGGCTGTTGTAGTTGGACTTTTTCATCTGACTTTCTTTGGACCACCAGTCCCCAAATTATGACTTATTATTAATTATGAAAGTTTGGTCTTTATCTTAGGCTTGTTCTCAACCATATCTTTTACCTTAAATTAATGTTTCTGTTAATCTATGTTCTGCCATGTGGTTGTTTATCTCTACTCCATTCTGTATGTCCAGCTCTTTCGGTAACTTGCTGGCATCTCCTGCCATGCCAGATTCTAAACCTTAGTTCCTCTCTCTCCCTGGAAGTCCGGCTAATTCTCTTCTGCCTAGCTGTGGGCCATTCACCTCTTTATTAACCTGATCAGGTGCCTTAGACAGATGACAACATAGACAAATCTTCAATTAATGTACAAAAAAATTAACCACAACAGGGTTGGAAGGGTAATAAAGTAATACTGTACTCTTATAGTGCCTGGAATGGAAATTGTAGCACTGTTATTATAACTGTCATGCTCTCAACCTTCCCACCCCTTTCAAAATTTGTTAGTGATATGTGTGGTGGTGCACGCCTTTAATCCCAGCACTCGGGAGGCAGAGGCAGGCGGATCTCTGTGAGTTCGAGGCCAGCCTGGTCTACAAGAGTGGTAGACAGGAACCAAAAAGCTACAGAGAAACCCTGTCTCGAACATCCAAAAAAAAAAAAAAAGAAAGAAAGAAATGAGGGGCTGAGTTCCAGGACTAGCTTCTTTCCATCTGTAGTGCTCCAGCTGATGGTTTTACTTGCTCAGCTGTCCCTTTGATACTTTATTGTTTTTCTCTTTTGCAGTTTTAAGTGAAGCTGTGTTAATTCAATTTTCATTCCAGCTCTCTTATAAACTCCACATTTTAATATCTAAGTCAATCTCAGAAGTGGGGGAGGCACCATCAAGAATTTCACTCCACCTGGGTGATGGTGACACACACCTTTAAGCCCAGCATTCAGGAGGCAGAGGCAGGCAGATCTCTATGAATGAGACCAGCGTGGTCTACAGAATGAGTTCCACAATAGCCAAGGCTACACAGAGAAACCCTGTCTCAAAAAAAAAAAAAAACAAAAACAAAAACAACAACAACAACAAAAAAAAAAACAAAAGCAAAAACCAAAAAAAGGACTTCTCTCCAGAACAAATAATTTTTTTCCTCCCAACATCCAAATCAAATGTCTCCTGAAACCAAAAACTAACCTCCCCAAAAGGGTCCCACATCGATAAAAAGCAATAAAAAAAAATCATATTCTAAGTAGGCAATAAATTTCACCTTTTTCTGTGCTTTCTTTTGATCTTCAAAAACTTGACCATCCTAGTAGCTTATGAAAATATAAACTACAAGCTGGGCAGTGGTGGCGCACGCCTTTAATCCCAGCACTCAGGATGCAGGAGTAGATGAATCTCTGTGAGTTCGAGGCCAACCTGTACTACAAGAGGTAGTTCTGGGACAAGCTCCAAAGCTACAGAGAAACCCTGTCCACCCCCCCCCCCCAAAAAAAAAGATAGGAAAGAAAAACGGAAAAGAAAGGAATATCTAAGCTGCATTCCATTGGTTCCTTAAACATTAGAGATAATTTTAAAAGAAAATCCTTGTGCAGACTCACAATCAATGGCCCGACTCACTTGACGACATATATGGCACAGAGGTCAAGAAAGAGACACGCGGCACGTGTCATCAGGGGATGCCCATCTTCAAGGCGTAATGTTATTTCAAACGGCATAAATGCAACTCCAGGTATGAAAGGGCATCAAAGTCTACGAGACAACACTGATGTCTCAGTTGTTCTTCATGGAGACAAGCATTGCCAGACTGCCACAGTTCCCCACGTGTGAAGTATTTCCCTCCATATTTCAGCACTTCATTGAAATGTCGACAATCAGTCAGAAATTCTCATGTGTGGATGTAGAGATTAGGACAGCTGTCAAATCATTAATCACATAATTGAGCTCTCTCCCTTCCTTGGCATATCTACTCAGTAATGGAATACATTACTCTGATAACCTGATAACAGCCCCCTTTAAGATGACCTCAGATGGGCTGGAGAGATGGCTCAGTGGTTAAGAGCATTGCCTGCTCTTCCAAAGGTCCTGAGTTCAATTCACAGCAACCACATGGTGGCTCACAACCATCTGTAATGAGGTCTGGTGCCCTCTTCTGGCCTGCAGACATACACACAGACAGAATATTGTATACATAATAAATAAAAAAAAAAGATGACCTCAGATGACACCTCATGTTCTTCCCATCCATTTCTTACATCTGTCAATCACCAGCCCATCAGTCTCCACCATAGTGACCACCTTTGGTTTCAGTTTAAGTGTTTCCCATATATGCCCCCATTCCCAGTTCCCAGAATCAGTATATCTTTGTCAGTATTGTCTTCTTTGCCACTGTCCGTCATGGTCTGGGTATATGCTAAGTCACCTTTTGACAAATCAACATCCCCACTAAGAGTGAGATATTTCCAAACTGCTTAAGATGCAGAATTTCAACATTTTGGTAAATCAAAACTTCACCATACACCACTTCATCCACGTCTTCCTCAACTGGACATTTATCAGCAGTTGGCCAGTATCTGTTGATGACCTCACCTTGAGCCTCAGGAAGTAAATTCTTCATCTGTCAAATACAGTCCTGCTTCATGTCTTTTCTTTTTTTCTTCTATTTTGTTTAAAAAGATGTCAGCTTCTTGTTTGTCTTGTTCGTCACTGTCCTAGCTCTGAAGCTTCAGCAACACCAATACATGTGGGTAATTCTCAAATTGGCAAATCTGCCCTGTGGGGTGTGTGTGTGTGTGTGTGTGTGTGTGTGTGTGTGTGTAAATTGCTAAATAGCTGTGGTCCTGTCAGGTGTGCAGTGACCCTGCAATCTCCTGTTCTTGGAAAATCTTTTCCCATTCTTGTTCCTGTTCCTGAAAAAGGAAAGGCCTTTTTCAGAATTGTCTCATCATTAGCTTTGGCATCGAGTATGAAGTCCAGATTGTGCTGTGCTGTTGACACAATGTGGTTGTTTGGATAGGAGCAGGTCCCATAGACTCACATGTTTGAATGCTTGTCCCATAGGGAGTAGCACTATTAGGAGGTACCACCTTGAAGTGTGTCACTGTGGTCTCATAAACTCAAGTTACACTCAGTGTGGCACACAGTCTCTTTTGCTGCCTGCTGAACAAGATGGAAAACTCTCAGTTCCTTCTGAGCACCATGTCTACCTGCACACAGCCATGCTTCTCGACATGATGGTCATGGGCTAAACCTCATGAAGCCAGCCCCAATTAAATGTTTTCCTTGTGAGAGTTGCCTTGGTCCTGGTGTCTCTTCAGAGCAATAGAAAAACAGAAACCAAGACACATAGTGAGAAGGCTTGTGCCATGCCCCAGAGAGGCAGCCTGGCAGTCTTGGGTGTCAACAGGTGTATCAGACTGCACCCCTCCCCTTAAAATAGTAAACTATTTTAATAAGCAGGGATAATGTCATGTCCATCCTCTCCCTCCTACCATATGGCAGTGACTGGCATACTATAGACACTCCGGTATTGTGCATATTAACAGTGACAAAAATGAAGTGACAAGGGCTTTAAGTTGTCTGTAGTGACTCCATTTTTGTACCTCAGATGAATTTTGTTTTGCAGAATATGTTGCTAGTAACTGTAAGGGAGGAGCTTAAGAAAAACAACTCCTTATTTTTTACTAATCGCATATTTTGGCTTTTGTAACTATCTACTTAACTTACAACTGCTGGATGGAAACCTTGGGGACTCTACAGTCAGAATATGGACCACAAGAAAGGCTCAGGGCTGCACTTTAGTACTGAATACCCAGTTGTCGTCAGCAGTCTGGAATGAAGACTTGCAATAGGCTCAGAGACAGTGTCCCCGTGGTCTTCTTTGGTGAGAGCCCCCTAGCAGTAAAACTATTACAATAGCTGAAAATTTTTCTAGAATTCGAATTACAGCAAAGGAAGGGCTAAAACCAAGGCTTGGAAACAGTTTTTTTCCTTTTTTTGGCTTTTGTTTTTCTCCGAGACAGGGTTTCTTTGTGTAAAAGCCCTGGCACCTTATCCATCATGCCTAGGCTTCTCACCCCACAACCTCCTGGGAAACAGGAGACACGTGGGAGAACGTTGGGCGGGGGAAATGGGGGGGGGGGAGAATGGGGACGGAAACGGCGAGGGGGTGGGAGGGGCAGAGGTCACAGGGACTGGCCAACCCGGACCCAGCCAATCCGAACTGCGTGGCTCAACAGCGCGGTGGCTTCTGGGAACCCTGGCTTCTGGGGAAGGCGTTGCTGCAGCCGAGACTCCAATTCCCGGCGGCCACCGGGCTCGAACAGGGTCCTCCTGTGGCGACTCACCAGAGACTACAATTCCCAGCCATCACTGGGCTCCAGCCTGCCCCTGACAGGGAGGGTCCCTGATCTCAGTGGGCGGGGAAGTGGACCTCTCAGGCGCCTTGGTCGTGTCGGTGCTGACTGCGACTAACACGCGGTGCTGGGCTCCTTTCGCTTGCCCTGAGACTCCCGTGAAGATGCCGAAGGCCAAGTCCGCGGCGAGTGGCCGCCGGCGCGAGCGGCTGGAGCAGAAGAGGGAGCTGAAGCGGGCCGGAGGTGCGGCGTGGAGGAAGCTGGGGGCGGATCGCGCCTGTCGGTGCGGACTGACCCGCGGCGGGGAAGGCTCACTGTGGCCTGCGCTCCAGGCCGCTCCGAGGAGGGTGCGAGCTCAGCGTCAGCCCTTCCCCGTGCCTAGTGTTCCCTGCTAGCAGGAGGGATGGATGGACTTAATGCTGCACCCCAACCCCAGCCGTAAAGCGGGACGCTTGTGGCATCATTGGTGCAGAAATGCCCCTGCTGCGTCTCTGGGACGGCCTGGTATCGATTCTTGAAAAGTTGGAAAATTAAGGCTGCTTCGTGTTTTATTCCAGGACTCATGTTCAACACAGGGATTGGACAGCACATTTTGAAAAATCCTCTAATTGTCAACAGCATTATCGATAAGGTGGGTGTAGACGAGGAAACGCGTAGCGTGTGCGTGTGTCATCTTTTTCGGAGTACTTACCTGGTATAACATTGTGCCGTGTGCCCTCATCCCAGCACTTGGGGAAACCGAGACAGGGTGATGTTTTGTTCAAAGCCAGCCTGTGCTATACAGGGAGACTCTAAGAAAATAAAATGAGATAGGATGCCTGACATAAAATGGTGCTCTGTTCATGTGTTGAATGAGTCGAGTGGCCCAAGATTCATTCACATGCCGTCTGTTGCATGCTTCGTTCTGAGTTCGTTTCTGCTCCCGACCTTCAAGTCCTTCAGCTTTCTGTGAATTATCTACCTCGTAGGTGGACTTTTTTGGTTCTTGCCATTAATTTCAAGATGATTTCATCACTTTTTGGAGATCTTTTGCTTGTTTGTTTTTGAGACTGGATCTCATGAAACTCAGGCTGGCTTCAAATACTACCAGAGCCTGCCTTGAACTTGCAAGCGTCTGTAATTCTGACCACTTTCTAAGCACCATATCACTTACTCTTTATTCTAGAGTTTAAAGGTGTCGATCTCACACAGTTTTTGCCTCTGAAAAATATATGGAATGGTACTGCATATAAATTATTTGGAGGATTATTCTGTTTCTGTTACTATGTTGTGGTTATGAATGGTTGAGTGCCAGGAGGTAAATACAGAGGGTACAAACTCTATGCTTAAAGGGTGACATCCTGGAGCTGTAGAAAGAATTTAGTAATCCAGTCTTACAGAATATGCTAGCTGCATGTATATGCACACACAGTTTGTGAGGTTGCTATATTCTTACTTCACAGTGGTTAAGAATTGAGAGATCTTGCTGCCACATGCTGACCCTAGGCAAGCTCATCATGCTCTTTGCATTTGAACTCGTTGACAGGAGCAGACTTAGTTACAGGTTGCTGTACCTGTCTCCAGTGTAGAAAGCAGGAAGCCATGCATAGAACTGTTTGTTTTTACTTTTTTTTCTGACTCCAGAAGTTGAATATATTCCTGTAGGTTAGGAAATGGAGATTTATACCTAATGCCTTTGAGGTACTATTGTTAACAAGAATAATGAAGCTAGAGTAAAATTTCTTTGTGTGTTGATGAATAAAACCAGTCATTTATAAGCTATGTGTTCAGGTGGGCCAGAAGCGTAAGGAGATGTGCTTTCTTTTAGGCTGCGTTAAGACCTACTGATGTGGTGCTAGAAGTTGGGCCTGGGACTGGAAACATGACCGTCAAGCTGTTAGAAAAGGCCAAAAAGGTAAAAAAAAAAAAAGGGGGGGGTGTCATGTGTTACCACCAAATTAGTTCAGCTGGTTTACAAATATAAATGTTTTAATTAGTTGTCATTGTTTCAATAGTAATTATTGAGCTCTTCCAAATTTTAACTAAAAATAAAATGTATTTATCAAGAACACAAAACCTACCCTTGGTGTATTGATGGGGGATAGGTACGAATTGATAGGAATGGGTTACATGCTTGTTAAAGGAGTAACAATAAAATAGGAATCCTGAGCTAACCCAAAACTAAATTGCAAAGTACAGTGAACTGTTTTGAAGCCTGAAACAAAACAATGAAGTTAAAAGTTATTAGGAACAAGCTCAACAACAGAAGACCTGTATAGGGTACCTACAGGGTACAAGAGATAAAGGATGGATCTGGGAGTCAAACAGAAGAACACAGTGTCTGCCCTATAGACAGAGTCATGGAATTCAGTGAAACCTCTGTTGAAATATAATTATTTATTATAATAAAATAATTTCAGCTCCATCCACTTTGATTCACTTGCGACCTTATGCCTTCTATTCTGGATATCAGATGATGAGAGCTTCTGGGAGCAGGTCTTGTGCTGTCTGAAAACACTGGTTACATAAAATGTATGCTTTTCATCATCTTCAGTTAAAAGCATGGAGACAGAGCAAGCAGGATGGTGGTACAAGACAGCAGAGTAGGTGTTGATGTTAAGATGTAGCTCATAGAAGTTATTACTTGGTGGTAAAAGATTTATACTCAACAGTGAAGTTTTTTTTTTTTCTTATTGTTAATATAGGTAGTTGCCTGTGAACTTGATCCAAGGCTAGTAGCTGAACTTCACAAAAGAGTTCAGGGCACGTGAGTATATATAATAATTAAAGTACATTTCAATCCTATGAAACAACATTCTCTTAAAATTTCTTTCCTTATTATCAGGCCTCTGGCCAGTAAACTTCAGGTCCTGGTGGGAGATGTATTGAAATCGGATTTGCCCTTCTTCGATGCTTGTGTGGCAAACTTGCCTTATCAGGTATTACTCAGACTATCAGAAGCATCCTATTTCTCCAGTACATTGTTCCTCAAAGCTAACCTCATTCTTTTTCAGATCTCCTCTCCTTTTGTCTTCAAGTTGCTGCTCCACCGACCATTTTTCAGGTTTGTGAAAAACAACAATTAGTGCTAAATTTTAGACTGATATTTTAAGTCAGGAACACAGCCAAAAATTAATACAACTGAAAAAAACACTAGAGAATATTTTTGTAGAACCCCAATATCTGTCTCTGGGTTTTTATTATTTGTGCTACGATACTGTTTCAGAAACATGTGCATATGTGCACACACACATAACACACAAGAATACTGACTTCTAGGGAGGTCTTTTAGTTTTTTTTTTATCTTTTACTTGGGGTGGTAACTGTGTGTGCATGCTGTTTCCTCTACTTTCTAATACTCTTAATAAACATTGATAAAAATTTTCCTTATATTATGTCTAAGTACTTGTAGTAACTTCTTAACTAGTTAAAATAATGTTTTAACATTGGTTAACATTGTTTAAAACCAGTGGCTTTGAAACTAAGTCACATACCTCCTCAAGTGTTTAAAACATGAACTCATAAATTATGGGAGCCATAACCATCCTTTTAAAAAATTGTGCGTCCCTGCCTGTGTGCTTCCAGAAGTCACAGGACAGCTTATAGGACCTCAGGGATCAAAGTCAGGCCCTCAGGCTTGGAAGCATGCCTCACCCTACTCCCGCACCCATTCCCTTTTAAATGACAAGGAATAGATTACATCAGAAGACAACTACAGATATTGTCCGAAAAGTTTTGTTTGGGATATGTAGACATATATGGATATACTTTGGAGGCCAAGGTAGGAGGATTGTGAGTTCAAGACCTGTTTGGGCAACTTTGTGAGACCTGGTCTCAAAATAAAAAGCAGGCGAAAGGGCTCAGTGGTAGAGAATTTGCCTTTGTACGTGAGGCCTTCGCTTCAATTCTACGTATACCATGCGGAAATCTCAAATAGTTTTGAAGATGTCTTCTCTTCACTAACCTTGAAACATTTCCCCATTGCTTACTGAAGAAGTTCACATTTATTATTATTATTATTATTTTTCTGATTTTTCAAGACAGGGTTTCTCTGTGTAACAGTCCTAGCTCTCCTGGAACTCACTTTGTAGAACAGGCTGGCTTCCAACTCAGAGATCGCCTGCCTCTGCTTCCTGAGTGCTAAAGGCGTACACCAACACAGCCTGGCATATTTTAAATTGTTAAACCAACGAAACACTGGACATTGTAACCTCCCAGGCCAAACCTGAGATATAATTTCCAACTATACCACAAATACAGTTCTCCTGTGGAGTCAACTTTACTATTTTTTTTTTTTTTTTCGAGACAGGGTTTCTCCGTAGCTTTTTTGGTTCCTGTCCTGGAACTAGCTCTTGTAGACCAGGCTGGCCTCGAACTCACAGAGATCTGCCTGCCTCTGCCTCCCGAGTGCTGGGATTAAAGGCGTGCACCGCCACCACCCGGCTAACTTTACTATTTGTTTTTCAGAAGGCATCAATAGACTAATATTTAGCCGGGCGGTGGTGGCGCACGCCTTTAATCCCAGCACTCGGGAGGCAGAGGTAGGCGGATCTCTGTGAGTTCGAGACCAGCCTGGTCTACAGAGCTAGTTCCAGGAGAGGCTCCAAAGCCACAGAGAAACCCTGTCTCGGAAAAAAAAAAATAGACTAATATTTAATACTGATACTAATACATAACAATAGATAAAAATGGTTGTTCATCTAATCCATGAGGAAAAGCCATCTTCCTTGTGGTTAGGAGTCCAGCTGTCTGTAGCAATAACACTTAAGGCTGAAAGTGTTCTACCTTTTGATCATATTGTCATTAACCAAAGATCCTCCCAGAGCAATTCACTGTTGCTCAACGGTTAAAAGCATAAGTTGCTCTTGCAGAGACAGGGGTTCTGTTCCCAGCACCCACATGGCAGCTAACCTCTGCTGTAACTCCTGTTCTAAGGATCCAGTGACCACTTCTGACCTCCATGGGCACCAATTCCACACACAGTGCAAATACAAACATGCAGGCAAAACACTCAGAAACATAAAATTAAAAAAAATTAAAAAATATAGCTGTAATTGAAGATGGGCAGTTTTTTCTTGTTCCTTTCTACTTCCTTTTCAGATGTGCTATACTTATGTTTCAAAGAGAATTTGCTCTTCGTTTGGTTGCAAAACCTGGAGATAAATTATACTGCAGACTCTCCATTAATACACAACTTTTAGCACGTGTGGACCATCTAATGAAGGTATGTGAGGTTTTTGTTTTTGTTTTTTATTTATTTATTTATTTATTTATTTATTATGTATACAATATTCTTTCTGCATGTATGTCTGAAGGCCAGAAGAGGGCACTAGACCTCATTACAGATGGTTGTGAGCCACCATGTGGTTGCTGGGAATTGAACTCAGGACCTTTGGAAGAGCAGGCAATGCTCTTAACCTCTGAGCCATCTCTCCAGCCCCTTGTTTTTGTTTTTTTGAGACAGGGTTTCTCTGTAGCTTTGGAGCTTGTCTGTGTACTAGCTCTTGTAGACCAGGCTGGTCTTGAACTCACAAGAGATCTGCCTGCCTCTCTGCCTCCCAAGTGTTGGAATTAAAGGTGTGCACCACCACTGCCCGGCTGGTTTGCTTTTTTTTTTTTTAATCATTAAATAATCTAGTTTAATTCATCCTGGAGCACTTGGCCTTGCCCTACAGGATTTTGTTCTCTAACTCTTACTAGCCATGTGCTGGATCCACGGTCCTAAACCAACAGAACATTGTTGGTTACCAATTTAAAGTTACCCTTACCAGGTATGGTGGCACACATTTTTAATCCCATTAGGCAGAGGAGTGAAGGACCAGGCCAGCCAGACCTACATGGTGAGACCCTGTCTCAAAACAAAATGTCAATAAAGTTGCTTCTGAGAGGACTAAACATTTTCTGATTAACAGGTGGGGAAGAATAACTTCAGACCGCCCCCCAAGGTAGAGTCCAGCGTTGTAAGGATAGAACCTAAGAATCCACCACCACCTATCAATTTTCAGGTGAGGTCAAAATACTAGGTCATTAAAGGCAAAAAATCCAGGTTGAAAATGTCATTCTAAAGCAGCGGAACAATACTGACTCAACCTAAATATTCAAACAGAGAAGATGGGAATTACGGGGTAGCCTTAGGATGGAATAGTTTGATGGAAAGTAGTTATGCATACCAAACAAAAACATGGAAAATTTTTGTAAAATGAAAAATGATTAGAATACAAGAATATAGTTGCATTTCAAAACTTATCATTACAGGTTTCGGAAACACTGAATAAAACTTGGAAAACAATGTAAAATTAAAATAGTCATGTTTGCCGGGCGATGGTGGCACATGCCTTTAATCCCAGCACTCGGGAGGCAGAGGCAGGTGGATCTCTGTGAGTTCGAGACCAGCCTGGTCTACAGAGCAGTTCCAGGACAGGCTCCAAAGCCGCAGAGAAACCCTGTCTCGAAAAACCAAAGAAATAAAATAAAATAGTCATGTTTGAGTAGTACTATGATAACACTTTCTTTTTGGTGGTTCTGAGGATAAAGGACTTAGGCATGCTGAAGCAAGTGTGCTATCACTGAACCACATCCTCAGCCCCTGTGGCAAACATTTTTCCAATGAAAATTACTGGTTTTGTGACCAGAAAAAAAATGTAGATGATTTGGGATAAATTCAACTAATTACATTAGAGAAAACTTGATGCACAAACTACGTCCTGAATCGTGTCTGTACTTTGAATGTGATGTCTTGGTTTTTATGAGGTAGGGTCTCCTGTGGCTCAAGCTCTCTAGGTACTGTATGTATCACTTTATAAACTCCTAATCAATGATAGGCCTGTGCCACTGTCTTTAGCTTGAATCTATTTTGAAAGTGATCCTATGCCATGTTATGTTTGGGGACTTTTTTCCAGTTGAATTCAGTGAGATTCACACAAATGCAGAAGTGTACATCTTTTTGCGTATGTGCCAGCTAGATCAAGATGTAGGCCATTTTCATTCCCTCTGGCTTTATATATTAAAAATGATCACAGTTAACAGGCATAGATAAGCAGTATTTGAAGAAAATAATTCATCTTATATTTCAGGAATGGGATGGCCTAGTAAGGATCACTTTTGTTCGGAAAAACAAGACACTGTCTGCTGCATTCAAGTAAGTATTCTACTACTTTGTAATGATGAGGGACCAGTTTTCCAGTCATAGCATTTGGTCCTTTACCCACAAAGAGCTGTTCTAAGTAGATTATTCATGACAAACAGACTTTACCTTTTAAAATAAGTACTAGGCACTGACAGACAGAAGGTAAAGAAAAATGGAATTGGGAGTCAAGTCAGGTTTCTCTTTGTAAAACGGAAAGACAATAATTTAACCGCACATTTCCAAGTCTTTGCTTTTGGGTTTTCTCCTTCTCCTCCTTTTATTGTGGGTGGGGACTTGTTGGGGTGCACATGTGAAGGTCGGAGAACAACTCTGAGGAGTTGTTTCTTTCCCACTTTGAAGTGTTAAGGGCATGGAACTCAGGTTATTAGGTTTACTAACTGACCCACCTTCTAGTCTTTCTGCTGTTTGACTAACTTGAAAGACTTAACAGAACCTGGGAATCCTAGGGTAAAGGAGGTAAGGTGTGATTTAGAGAGCATGGACATTTTTTCCTGGCCACACCAAAGACTGGGTCTATGATTTTAAGCACACTAGCTGAGCATTCTATCACTCTGACTCACTCAGACCCAGCTCCATTTTTGAGTTCCAGGCTGACCTTGAGCTTCCAATTCCCCCTACTTCAGTCTTTCTAATAGCTAGTACTAGTACTATTATAGACCATTGCTACCAAAGCCAAGCAAGTTGTTCTGGTTGGGGATGTTTTGTGGAATATCTAAGATCTCTTTAGAATTCCATATCTGTAGCTCAGCTTCGGAAAGTTAAAATGGTATATAACTAGAGCACTGGAATTTTGAGGTCAGCTTGGGAAGCATAATGCAAACCAGTCTTTTCTTAAAGCACTGTGTGAAATTTGATTGACTCTTAAAGAACAAGACTTAGAGATGTTTATTAGGACTCTAATCTTTTTTTTTTAATATATGTTAGCTTTGAGTTTAAATAGTTGGTACCCTTTTTAAATTCCCGAATTTCATCAGATCATACATTCCTTTATACAAGGTTTGTCTGTGTAACAGTCCTATCTGTTCTGGAACTCACTTTGTAAACCCAGCTGGCCTCCAACTCAGAGATCCACCTGCCTCCCAAGTGCTGGGCTTAAAGGTGTGCACCATCCCACCTTTTACATTTTTAAAAATTATATGTGGTGTGTGTGTGTGTGTGTGTGTGTGTGTGTGTGTGTGTGTGGTGTCAGAAAACAACTTACACAACTGGTCCACTTCTTCCTCCATGTAGGTTCTAGGGCTTGATTTCAGGTTGGGTAAGGCAGCAAGTTCCTTTACCACTGAGCCACCTTATAGGCCTGGAACATATATTTCATTTTGTCTAAATTTATGTATAATCTGATTTTGTGATTGTCACTTAATTTCCAGATCAAGTGCAGTACAACAGCTGTTGGAAAGAAACTACAGAATTCACTGTTCGGTACATAATACTGTGAGTTGAGTAAACATTACCATTTCAGTGACTTTTCTTCACTTGAGACAGGGTCTCTGTTGTCCTGGCTGTCCTGGAACTAGCTCTTGTAGACCAGGCTGGCCTCAAACTCAGAGATCCTCTTGCCTCTGCCTTCCAAGTGCTGTGATTGAAGGCATGCACCACCTGGCTCTTCCACTGACGTTCACTTATAAAAATGTTCTTTTTGCCAAAGTCTTACAGAGCACAGCCATGCTGCTTCCTACATCTGCTTGCCTTTCTGGAGTATTCACAAAACCATAACCCTTTTTACTTCTATCTGTCCTAAGCATGCTTTCCCTAACACTTTGTGTTTCTTTATTCTCTAACAACCCGCCCCCCCCTTTGTGGCTGATCTCAATGCAGACGTATTTCAGGCAGCATAGCTCTTTTCCTTCCCTCCTCCATTCTTCTCTTCAAGGTAGCCACCTAGATTTACAGCCTGCCTGCTCTGTATTTTTTTTTTTAAATTCTCATAGATTCCTATATATTCTGTAGGACCCTTAAAGTCAATACACACTGTGTAACTAGTAGATCTCTTGATGGTTTTAGAAATGCTCTTGCTATATAGCCTAGGCTGGGTTTGAGGTGAAGCACAGAGTAATCTTCCTGCCTCAGCAGTATGGACCACCATGCCTAGCTAACCTTGACTTTTAACAGGTTAATTTTGCTGTGAATTTTATGAACCAGGCCCTCTTTAACGTTTGTATTTAACCCTAGTAAGAGTTGGATTCAACTGTTTTGCAGTTCTTCAAATACATAGATAAGTAATTTAGTAATTACTTAAATGTGTATAATGTGCTAACCCAAACTGATTATCCTGTTTGTCACTTAGATAGTGACCCAGGCTATAGCTGAGAATGTCTTTAAATCCCTGATGCACCTTTATTTTCCAAGTGCTGGGATTAAAGGCATAAATGTTACCACATCAGGTTAGTAATCATTAAAGTTACTAGTTTATGACATCTAGAAATTTTAAATAATAAGAACAAAGAGTGCGTTGAGTAGCTAGTTTATGGTCATGTGCCTCGTGCCTCTTAAAAGTCTGACTTGAATTTAAGTATGGGAGTCCTCATATATACACATTGCATGTGTACAGGCTAAGTTTGTTGGCTTTTCAGCATTTTTTAAGTTTGACAGAGAAGACATATTATGACTATTTCCTTCATATTTTTTATGCCCAGATTCTTCTATGCTTTAATATACCAGAGTACTATCTCCATTCTCTAATGTAGATAAAAAGCTACCATGAGTCTAAAAAAAAAAAAATGGTGTGAATCAAGTAAAATCAATCACTGTTTTGTTGTTTTGAGGTGGTCTTACTCTGTAGCACAGGTTTGCCCTAAAATTAGGTTACTCCCAAGTTCTGGGATTACAGGGGTAAGCTACAATACTCAGGGACATATAATATACTTAAAAGAGAATCATTTCTCAGAAAAATTACCTGGTTGGGTGAGCTGTTTTTAAAAGATCAGTAATTGCTTTAAAGTTTTATTCACTTTATTTGTAAAGTCCGAAGCCTATTGTTTTTGCATTTTACGATTGAAAAAGGGCAGTATGTGCATGATAACTCAAAGTATTTCAAGTATTGCGTCACAAAATCAGCCTGTAGAAATCCACGTCTTACCAAACTGTCAGGTGTTCCATCATTTACAAGTCTACATTAAAAGTGACTGTAATTACTGAACTTTAAAAAAAGAGTCATGGTATCTTCATTAAAGATATGTTGTTCATTTATTCTGAATCTTATATTGATAGGTAATACCAGAAGATTTCAGTATAGCAGATAAAATACAGCAAATCCTAACCAGCACAGGTTTTAGTGACAAACGGGCCCGTTCCATGGACATAGATGACTTTATCAGGTAATTACATTTGTTGTTGTTCTAAATGCTTACATTTCTTTGCTGTGGTATCTTAAGATTAGAGACTTAAAGGCTTTTAAGCGGCATAAGGTGCTCCTGGGAGAATTATTGCATAGCATTTCAATAGTGTGGAACAGTATTTGGTGTAGAGCAGTGGTTCTCAACTTTCCTAATGCTGTGACCCTTTAATACAATTCCTCGTGTTGTGGTGACCCCCAACCATATAATTAGTTTCCATCTCTACTTCTTAACTATAATCTTGCGACTGTTTAGAATCATAATGTAAATGTCTGTTTCCGATGGTCTTAAGCAACCCCTATGAAAAGGTCATTTAACCCACATGAAGGGGTCGTGACCCACAGGTTGAGAACCACTGGTGTGAAGGATGGCAGCTTGTTAGCTGCAGAATGAATGTGTTAAGATCAGTAGTAAAGAACAGTCTGCGCCATAGATAGCCTGGGTTCATGTGTGCTGTGTATTTCTTTTCTCCTGCTCCAACCCCAAACTCATTCATGGTCTTAGTTATGCTTACCTCTTACAAGTAGCCTGTAAGGTAGAAAAATCATCATAACATATGTAACTGGATCTGATGATACATTATTTCTTTATTTTAGAATAGCTATTGTTAATCAGATGGTAACTATGAAATGCCAGTTAGAACCATGTCTGATTATCCATTTAATAGCACTTGGTACCTGGCCTGAGGCAAATTCTACACCTGTTAAGATATATGGGCAATTGGGACCAAAATTTGTCTTACTTTGTATTAAGAAGTTTCAGTTAATTACCCAATTGTACAAACTCACACTCAACTTTCACAAGTTCCTGTACATTTTGTTTACTGTTTTCTTATATTGCTAAGGACTGCATTCAGAGGTCTGCACATGCTAGACAAGTACAAGTTCTAGAATGTGTCCCACTTCTAGCCAGTTTCCTTTTTTCAGTGCTCTTTAACTGCTGAGCCCCTAGCCAGTTTACTTTTAAAGCATTAGTGTTCTAGAGACTGAATTTTAAAAAATGAGAGTAGAGTGCTGTAAGACACGTTTGCTTTTTCAGTAGAACAGTCTAGAACTAAGACTTAGGAAATATTGTTTTAATCTCTGGCTAGCAGGAATACTGAGTCTTCACTGGCTGTTATTCCTACTATTTGAATGATATTCATAAGCACCTACACATAGCTTTTCTAGACATTTTAATCCATATGTACGTCTTCCTGTGGGCCATCCTGAAAAATAACCTCAAGTTCAAATACATTGTATTTTACACTTCATCCTTCCTCAGGGCACTGCTTTTTAACAAAAGTCAGAGAAGCACACAATATCCACAAAGAAAAGGAAAGTGAAAAAATGAGTAAAAGTTCAGAGAATAGGCAGAGATGATCTGACTTTCTCAAATCCAGGCGAAATAGAGTGAGTGCTGATGAGCCGAGGCCAGGGACAGCAATCACTTTAAGGTGATTCCAGTCAGAGCTAATGTAACTGAAAGCAGCAGTTTACAACAAGACATGCTTTAACTAAGAATACTTTGCCAATTTATTTGGAGAGTAAAGTTTCTTTAGTAACTAGTGATAGGAATAGGTGTGTAAGTATGTTGATGTGTTTTATGTACTAATGGTACATGATGGATCAAAAGTTGGGCTTTTGGTAACACCATTCATTTTCCATTTCTTTCCCTTCAGGTTGCTACATGGGTTCAATGCAGAAGGCATCCACTTTTCCTAGCCATTTGAAAACATGCTTTTTCCAAGACCAAGAAAAAAATGAAATTATAAATCTCTATTATTATTATCCATGGTCAAAGTGGTTAAATCTACATATTCTTGTTTTTGTTTTAAATATACTACAAAGAGCAGGGTTCAATAGACATAACCATTTCCAAGTTTAAAAGCCGCAGATACGCACAACCATACACTTAAGCTTTCTAACAATTTATTGTATAAAGATGTTACTGTGTTATGGGCTGTGAGGCCTACTTTAGGCCTGCAGCTCGGTCACCCAGTCACAAATCCTCCTCATTCACATGTACAGTACGTTACTTAACACGACTTTCCTTTACACACCCTCTTCATCCTAGACAGTTTCCATGTATTAATGCCATCTTTGTTAGATGACCTGTTGCAACACAGACAACAGTACAGTTCTGGATAAGCCAGAGTCTGCTGCAGTCATATAGTGCAGGCATGTCCTGTATGACTCTACCTGTGAAATGCAGACGCGTAGAAAGAAGCTAACTATAAAGTCATGTTAAGTCTGTTTTCTTGGGGGGGAGACAGATCTATAGATTTCAGATTTAGAAAAATCCCAGAGAGTTTATAAGTGAAATGGGCTTTATTAATCGGTGATTTTCTTTCTTTCATGAAAGGACCTTTTTTCTTTTTTTTTTTAACATCAACTTTAATCTCAGTATCTTGCCTCAGCCTTCTAAATGCTGGGATTACAGTTGTGTACCACTGTATGTGGTTTCAGTTTTCAGCTTTTTAAAAGAAAAGCCGTTTACCCACAACTACAAGCTCCTGGCTATTCCTTAATTCTGGATAATTAAAATTTTAGTACCCGGTGTTTCTTTTTAAGCTATTTAAAATTTGTCAGATTGAAGATTTTATGCTGCTTATATATTTTAATAAATTAGCTGTTTTATTTATATAAGGAAACTATCTTCATTGGTTATTTGGCTCTCTTTGTACCCAAAACTTAAAATGAATGCTTCTACACTTAAGAATATAAATTGTTTGCCTACCTAGATATTTTTTTTCCCCAAAATCTGGCTTAAGAGTCATATAGTAAATGCTATAATGACTATGAATAACTTAGCTATGAATAGGTAAAATAATGTGTAGCAGCCTTTAAATTTCAGAAAGGTCTAAAGAATATTTAAAACAAAACAAAAAGACTTTGCTGCAAAAGCTACTTTTGTCACACGAATAGTAACTATTCTTAAGGGTTAATTTTCTTTAATGTGACAGAACTATTTTGTAGAGTTCACTTGTACCATCTCTACCTCAAGGGAAACAATTCCACCTAACTAGGCTTTTTTAGCTTGTTTTCCTTGACTCTCAACTGCTGCGCTTTAGTCCCCTTTACTGGTTGGTCTCAGTTTTCCCTCTGTAAAGCTGAATCGTATTTTACCTCCAAAGATATTTGCTGGTACTAATTTTCAAGTACACTGACTATGGATTAAGATGAAGCTAGCATAAGGCAGCATCTATACATATAAAAAGATCCTCCAAAGATAGTACCTATCCAGTGCCAGTAACATTAAACCTAAAAATGGATCTATAAAAGACCTTCCGAAGATAGTTCCTGTCCAGTGCCAATATCATAACATTAAAGCTTTGTGCTTAATGAGCAAGTTCGTGTCTTTATTGCCCATTACCTATGAGGTGGTCTCAAAATATACCCTTTTATTGGAGACAAAGTCTTTCTACAAAGCTCTGGCTATCCTGGAACTCACTAAGTGGAACAGGCTGGCCTTGAACTCATACCCACCTGCCTGAGTACTGGGATTAAAGGTGTGTGGCCTCTGCAAGGTCAACAGAAACAAGTTAGTTCTTCATTCTTCCTCTTTGAAACAGACACGAACAGAATACATCTTACAATTGCAAAAAACCTGAGTTCCTTCCAAAACAAAGGTGAATATATTGAAGTACATTATTTCTAAATTTGTTTTTATAGATTTCATTTATTAATAATGATATTGTGAAAAAAATCTACATTTGATTTAGATTTCATGTTTACAGAGCTTTACCCCATGGTGTTAGGATTCCTCACAGCTACCCTCTCACTTATGATCAGTGAAGTAAAGGATCTGGCTCGCTGACTCTATTCATAGATTTCCCCTTGGCTCACTGAGTGAATCAGTAGGTTCCCTAGAGTTAATCAAGAGAAACATGGGAGGTTCTTTGGTTAACTTAATGGACTATATATACTGGGAACCAAGGGAAAACTCCTAGAGATATATAATGTGTATATATATATCTATAATTATTTAAACAATATTTACATTAAAGTTGGCCAGTTTTCTCTTTTAGAGTAGCAGCTGTAAAAGTGAGTTCTGCCATTTATGGAGTAGTCTTCCTTACTATCGTTCTATCCACGAGATCCAAATGGCAAACCATCTCATACTAGATATTGATGGAGCTTGCTATGGACTGCCTCGTAAGGCATCGACACTTCTGGGGGTTACATACTGTCTACGCTTGGCTATCTAACTTGTATTATGAACTACTTTCAATGTACATACAAATGTTCATGCATCAGAAGCCAATTTCCTTTAACAGTACGTTAAATTTGGGTGCTAATAAACACTTCAACTTAAATAATGGCATTGTTAAAGATCAAATTACACTATTAGTCTTGTGAACACCACTGGCACACACACTGCATATATATGTATTATCCTAAGATAAAACTCTTCTCAGAATTTCGTTACTTTTTATTATACACCAACTAGTTTATATTTTAGTTTTTTACAAAGAAAATACTAAGAAAATTATAATCACATATCAATGGTATTAAAATCATAATTCCAGATTTCTTTACATGTAAGATGGAATGATCCAGCAGCTATGTCCACTGTCACAGACTTTAGTTCCGTTCAATTGGTATGGCACATCCTGCAAAATTAACTAGTCACACACAAAAAAAGTCTCAAATACAGTAAAAATGTACACACAATAAAGGTAATTTACAGTTACAAATAAGGAATGTACGTTATCTTGGCTGTGCTTCAGAAATCTAGGGTCAATAGCCTTAGTCAAGGCACAGAGGAGGAGAGAGCACAGCTGTTTCTAGGAGTGTGTACAATCACTGATGAGGTATGCATGCACGCAAAGTATTCAAAATTGCTTAGTCTTGCTACGAAAATGGATCTGAGTTAAAGGAAATATTGTGGCTTCCCCCACTCTCCACTTCTGGATTACTTCCACAATCTTTAAATAAAATTGGCAAGGATTTCCAAAAGCAATCACTATTTGGGTAAATGAAACAAAATACTTCACTAATCCCAATTATTTGTGCCTCTTGGACTAGAAGCATTTTGTAGACAAAGGAGTGTTTCATAAAATTGAAATGTCATTCAGGTGAAAGACAAGATATTTTCCACACACTCAAGATTTCAAAAACGTTCAAGTGGCCTTTACATCTGGACCACCATTTGTTAGCGTACTGGGGATTCTGGGGATCCTTTAGAAGCAAATACCAACTTTAGAGGGCTCGGGGCCTCTTGGGGTTAATTTGCTTGCTGGCCTGTTCTTCTTCTTGTAGCGCTGCACGAAAAGATTTCACTTTATCTTGGGAAAAGAAGAGAACAAGGGAGATAGTATTGTACAATAAAATAAGCAATATGGTGCACAGCTTTGATAGCATATCAAGCTAGCACTTAACAAAACAGTATTTCTCTTGCTCTATGTCATCTAGTCCCTCAGAACTATGTGTACCTATAACAAGTCTTATGGATGCCTAGTAAAAGCCTGTTTGTTTTTCAACCAGTTTCTCTAACACACATTTTAAAGTGTTAAGTTAAATTTGTTCTATTTTTTGGGGGGGTGGTGGTGGAATATAGGCAAGCTTTTCATGTTGAAATATGTAGTCCTATCTAAAAGGGAAATGGTAAGTATTACTCAGATGTAATACTTCTTTCAATATTATGAGATTTCGGGGCTGGAGAGATGGCTCAGCGGTTAAGAGCATTGCCTGCTCTTTCAAAGGTCCTGAGTTCAATTCCCAGCAACCATATGGTGGCTCACAACCATCTGTAATGAGGTCTGGTGCCCTTTTCTGGCCTTCAGGCACACACACAGAAAGAATACTGCATACATAATAAATAAATAAATAAATAAGTATTAAAAAAATATTATGAGATTTCTACTAAGCCCCACTCCACCTTTTTTAAACTAAGAAAATTTAAAAGTCGAATTAAAGAAAAATAAATGACATCTGTTGTCTCACCAGGTAAACAGGATAACACTTAATTGTTCTTATATATTCTGTCTATTACCATGCAATGACCTACAGTCATAGGACTACCAATTTGTTAATAAACTGTCAGGGAAATTACAAGCATGGAAATGAGACATCTTTCTATAGCAGTGGTGCTCAAATGGAAGTGGTTTTTGCTCCAGGAACATTTAGTAATGTCTAGAGGTTTATCACAACTGATATGGTGCTGTCCTCTAGTGGATAAATGCTTGTAAGCAAGGACGCCCAAACATTTTACTCTGTATAGGTCTTCAACAAACAATGGCCTCTCAAGCTCTAAATGGTGTCAACAATTATTAACAATCTTCCCTTTGTATGTTTTCATCATATAAAATCTGTTCACAACTACACATCTTAATATTGTGCAAATTTCATACCAAACACTAAGATGAAAGACAGATTACCTCGTAGCTCCGTTAAAATGTCTATTTTCTGCTCAAGAATAGCTTCAAGTTGTGTAGCATATGAGTCAACATCATAGTCAACTTCTTCAGTCATCTCTAAGAGAGCTTTTTCATCTTCTATCCAGCGAATGGATTCCTAATAATAAGAATTCAACACAAAATGACTTGTAAACTGGTATGCTTTACAAATATTTATCAGAGGAGACTGGCATACAAATCATGAGTTCTGAGTCAAACAATGAAGAAGATATTTTTAAAAAAAAATCAGCAGTAGACATGACATCTCCAAGTCACTGTAAAATCAATTTTTGGGAAGGGGGGGGGCTGGACCAGGAACGAACCCTGGCATTCTGTGTGAATGGTAAGCAAGCATTCTACCACTGAACTACATCCTTAGACCTGTTCATTAAATAAAAAAGAAAATACCACAGGGAGATTATTTGCTATCGCATATCCTAACACATACACGACTAAGAAATTTTAAAAGAACTGTGTTCTATTCAAAGCATTCTTAAAATTTTCATTAATTTAAGGCCCGTTTGCAAGAAGGCCTTTCCTTACATACCTGAAACACTGCCCTGTGATCTTCTACAACCTGTTCTTCCATTTCTACCATCTGGGAGACAGCTTCATGGAAAGTGAACAGTTGTGGAGAAACTTCTTCTTCCTTAAAACACAAAGTTCAAAACTATCATCTAAAGCTTATATTTTTAAATGTCACTGAAGTTTTGTTTTTATTTTCTTTTCTTCTTTGGGAGCCCACTGAGGAATTTTATGTGTTTCTTTAAAAAAGGCAACGTTCTACCACTTAGCTATAGCCCAGTCTCAAAAGCAATTTTTTTCTTTTATCTTTTTTGGTTTTTCTTTTTCTTTCTTTCTTTTTTTTTTTTTTCGAGACAGGGTTTCTCTGTGGCTTTGGAGCCTGTCCTGGAACTAGCTCTGTAGACCAGGCTGGTCTCGAACTCACAGAGATCCGCCTGCCTCAGCCTTCCGAGTGCTGGGATTAAAGGCGTGTGCCACCATCGCCCGGCTTCTTTTTTGGTTTTTCAAGAAAGGGTTTCTCTGTGGTTTTGGAGCCTGTCCTGGAACTAGCTCTTGTAGCAGGCTGGTCTCTAACTCACAGAGATCCGCTTGCCTCTGCCTCCCGAGTGCTGGGATTAAAGGCGTGTGCCATCATCGCCCAGCTAAACTTTTTTAAAAAATCATTTACTATTTTTTTACAGTTAAAAAAAGAAAGATCTCATTCTCTTCCTTAGAATGGCCTCATATTGGTAGACTTAACCAGCCTTCCTGCCTTAGCCTCCTAAATAGGTGGAACTACAGGTGTGTCTGGATGTGTATTTTGATTTGTCTGCATTCCTGGCTGATCTGGTCCTGGATAGGTAGTCCAGGTTAGCATCAAATTCTCAGCAATCCTCCTGCTTCAGCTTCTCTATTATTGGAATTATAGGTGTGTGCCACCATGGCAAGGAAGCCAGATAGTTGTTTTTTTTTTTAATTTATTTATTTATTACATAAACAACATTCTGCCTCCATGTATGCCCGCATGCCAGAAGAGGGCACCAGATCTCATTAAAGATGGTTGTGAGCTACCATGTGGTTGCTGGGAACTGAACTCATGACCTCTGGAAGAGCAGCCAGTGCTCTTAACCACTGAACCATCATCTCTCCAGCCCCACCAGTTAGGAATCTCAAATAACAAATGATAGTTGTACTTCAACAACAAAAACAAACACATGGCAACACAGCATGTTTTGGTTGTTAAATCAACTCAAAATTGATCTGGTTTAGCTTTACTTTTGCAGTCTCCTGCCTAAGTCAGTTCTATTAACTCAATCTGTTTTCTCAAACTATGGCTTCAGTAACAGACAACTATGTAGAAGTCTACTTAAAAACTGTTCTAACACGCTGAGTAGAAATGAGAGATGGCTCAGTGGTTAAGAGCACTGGCAGTTCTTCCAGAGAACCTGGGTTCAATTCCCAGCACCTACATGGCAGCTCACAACTGTCTGTAATTCCTGTTCTAGGGGATATGATACCTTCATACCAATGCAAATAAAACAAAGTTAAATAAATTATTTTTTTAAAAAAGAAAGAAATGGCATTTAAGCCAGGCAATGGTAATACACACCTTTAATCCCAGTACTCAAGAGGCAGAGGCAGGCAGATTTCTGAGTTTGAGGCTAGCCTGGTCTACAGAGAGTTCCAGAACAGTTAGGGATACAGAAAGAAACCCTGTCTCAAAAAATGAAGAAAAAAAACACCCCAAAAAAACAATACCAAACAAAACAAAACAAAGTCATTCGCTAGGCAGTGGTGGTGCACGCCTTTAATCCCAGCACTCAGGAGGGCAGAGGCAGGCAATTTGCTCTAGGGTGTGCACATCTTACTCTGGTTCTCTGTATCTTTGGGAGACAATCATATCTAGGCATAGTTCAATATCTGCTTTGAGAGCTTATGGTTCAACAACCATAGTATCTTTCAAAACTTTGGGACGATAGACTGAAGCTAGGATCTCATTTTTAGTTCTCTCTGTCTTCTATGGTCCTCCCACCTGGACAGCAAGCTCTTTACTCACAAAGTCATCTGTTCAACCTCTCCACCTTACTTGACAAGCTATTGCACTGAAACCCTTGCTAGCTTGCAACTTAATATATAGCCTCAAATTTGCTGCAATCCTCCTGCCTGAGCCTCCCAAATCAGGGGATTATAGGTTTGTGCTACATGCCCAGATCACATGCATTTCTTTATATTTGCCTATTTTCCCAGAATATATATTTTAAAAGTAACTAAATTGTTGAAACCTGAAATTATAAAATTTTTAAGAAACTTCAAATATAGAAAACCAACCAAATTTAATGGATGTTAGCATTTTAACTGGGGTTTTATTTGCTTCTCTTTTTGTTTTGGGGTAGTTCTGGGCTGTAATTTTTAGTACAGTTCCTTTATATCTTTAATCCACATAACTATGACAGGTTGTTTTGTT